CCCCCCCCCCCCCCCCCCCCCCCCCCCACCCCCCTTCATTTTGGACCACGAACGCCGTGTTGTCCCGGGTCTCTGGAGAGTTTGGGTATGTTTTTTTCCCCTTGACTTTCCTTCACGAGTTGAGGACCACTTACCTATTGTACGGTAGGTACTCCGTAGTTAATACGAACTTCACTTTGCCGTTGCCGTTGCCTTCCCCCTCCCTCCACACCCACCCACTCTGCCGGAATATGCCGTTAGATACGTGTTCAGACAGCCAAGGGGAGGGAGGGAGAGAGAAAGAGAGAGAGGGGGGGGGGGGGGGGGGGGGAGGGGGACTCGGAGGCGCCCCCCATTTCGTTTTTCAATCTTGATCCTTACCAACTCCTCAGGTGAGTTTCCCATAGAACAAAGGCCCTGCAAATCTTACAAAAGAGGGAAGAGTCCCCTCGTACTCGTATTTTCTCGTACCCGTACCCGTTACCCAACTTGTCACCACTGTACAGACAGACAGACAGAGAGTGAGAGAGAGAGAGAGAGTAACTAGTCTCTCTGTAACGGAAGTAGTTTCCTGCGTTTTTGTTTCCCCGGGTATTAACCTTTTCTTTCTCTAGTATGGATACAGATTTTGTGTGAACGAACGCTCCCTCCCAAGCCACTGTCGAAGGATCAATAAGAAAAAAAGCCGCCATTTGATCAAGACGACGGGGGCCAACGAGACCCCATGCCAATTGTCGTACTTGTACAGGTATCAACAAAGCAAACGTCCGAGTCCGGGCCCCCTCCCCCTTTTATACTTCGTGGTAATCAAACACGAGACAACTTTTCAAAAGACTCCAGCCTCACCAGGAGAAACCACCACCAATGATGTGATGACATTCGCATATCCGAGACTAACACAATCTTCAATTGCTACCGAAAATACTTTGTAGACGTCAAGAGGCTCCCATTTCATTTCCATCCCTGGACCGACCAGGACCACTCATGAACCAACTACTAACCCTCACTGGAAAAACTCGGACTCTCCCCCCCGGATTTGGCTGAAAGATTGAGATCTCGAGTACGAACCCAAACATGCACTGGCAAAACCCATGGTACTTTCTCTACCTAGACTTGTTTGTACCAGCCAGTCTTTGTCTGCGAATGCCAAAGACTTCAGCAACTCAGTTAATCACTAGGTACACACTTTGTTATTATCCAAGTATAGAGATACCTAATTGTGTACATGAGTTTATATACCATACATGTCCAAGGCTTTTGAACCATCTTCCATTACCAAGTAGATAAAACATAGGAAAAAGAAATGGGATATCAATCCAACATCCGCTTTTCGCAAAAAGAAAAAAGAAAACACATAAAAAAAAGTCGAATAGTCTCGTGCTTTCGTAGTCATGTCGTTCAATTCGTGACGTGAACATCTCAAGAAAAGGATCCTAATGTCATGACTGTAAAGGGTTGTGATCGATGGTCCAAACTCTCACGACGATGAATTTCCTCGTTGCAGGACCCCGGGCAGATTGTTTCCTTGGACGTGGCTTCCAAAATTAATGCTGGTCGGGCTGGCGCTGGCGCTGGCGCTGGTGTCGCTCAAGGGACTCAAGTTCTCTTGAATGGTCGAACCAGCCCCTTCTGCTGAATGTGTTCGAATATCCATCTTTGCAAAGATTGCTCTCAAATCGCGGACATTGATCAGCGCCTCGACACCAGTCACACTGTCACTGCCTTGTCGCTCGTTGACCACTCTTCGAATTTCCGTCAGCATGGGCACATTGCCTTCGTTGTTGGGTAGCCACCAATCTTCGACCTCATCGTCTCCCGCAAGTTCACGCGTCAGACCCCACATTTCTGCCATCTTCCGTCGAAAGGTTGGTGGGAAGATATAGCCTTGTCTTTCCACCGCAGCCAGCTTCCTCCTGGCCCACATGGTGTGTTTGGCGTCCTTCTTGAGGAAGACGAGCGCGATACCAAGGCTTGCATGCAGGCCGAGCACTGCTCCATTCGGCGCTTCTGGCCATCGTTCGATCGCCTCAAAGATTCGGCAAACTTCCAAACTCACCGTTTGTTGTTCAGGTGGCATGGGCTGTCTCAGAAAAAGCGCGGTTTGGGATTTTTGCATGAGCTCAATCCCGTACCAATCGAGCCACATGAAATTCAACGACCACAAAGCGTCTTTGAAGAGGCCGCCTGGGGTGTATGGGTTGACAATGTCCTCATCGGTTAGAGGCCGTTCAAGTGCGATCGGAAACTCCTTCACCCGGTGGTATTCATCATTGTAGGCTTGGAGGTGGCGTTTCATATCATCGAGCCGCTGCACGATGGCTGCATTCTCCCTGTTGAATTCCTCCACGCTCATCTCTTGTTTTGCAAACCGGGAAAACAGTAGAGCCATGTCCATTCCGAGCAGACGATTGGCTGCGACAAAATACGCCAATGTATCCTGGATGTCGACGTCCGTTTGTGCACGGCCAGCTATTTGATCGTGATACCACTTGGAGTTCGCCTCGTACCACTGCCGGTCCAGTCGAGTCGCGTGACCAGCCATCAATCCACTAATCACATCCAATCGAGCATACCAGCTGAAAAGGCGTCGTCCCAGATCCGTCTCCATCATTGTGTCGTGGGTATACAAGTCCTCAACCATAGTGTGAGCTGCTCTGTGATGCCCAACAAGGTTCACCCAATCCCCCAGATACTCATCAAAGGTGGCCAATTGCAAAACGGTCAACAATGTCGCGGGGGTGAACTTGGCATTCTTTTCCAATGATTTTCTAAGCATCGACAAGGACTTCGAGTGGTAATTGAGAAACGGTGACAACTGGGGTTCCGGTTGTTGCAACTCGTAGTGATACGCTGCGAATCCCACAACAGCGTAAAGCAGAGGTTCGTAAGTCAGGGCCAAATCAATCATTTCGCAATGCACAAAGTCGGTCGGATCCAGCTTGTAGAAATAATGATAATACGTCATGTACTCCTGTTGAAATTGCAGGTACTTCTGGAGGTCGGGCTTCAATGATCTGATTTTGGCTTGTCGAGCTTGCATGTCTGCCGAGTTCGTCATTGTGCGGACCGACGACGCCGGTGTTTCATCTCTTGACCGTGAATCGGACAGGTCGGTGGCGGACAGAGGACTGGTAGGATCTTTGGCCGCTGGCGACATGTCCGACTTGACCTTCGGGGTTTTGCCCACCTGGCTAACGGAATGAGTGCTGTCTGTCCGCATGCGGGACAGAGATGGTCGGCCAATTTTAGGTGATGCAGGCTTGTCATCGTCATCCCCGCTCTCGTCCTTGATCGTTGCTAGCCCATACATGGCTTCGTCCTTCTGTTCTTGTTTGGCAGAGTGATCCTTGGGGCTACGAGTCTTCTCGTGCCTCGAATGCCTCGAGGATGAAGTCGGGTGCGGAAATTCGCACTCGCGGCCGCCTTTTCTGCACCCTGGACTGTGTTAGCCTACGAGAAGAGGTCGTCATGGGGATGGGAACATACTATCACAGATGGGTCTTGTTTCATCGCACTGTTCCCAAGGTCAGCTCGAAATCGGCATGCGAAGGGGTGAGTTCCTTTCACCTTGACTCTTCTGCTGCGGCAAGTGAAGCAGCCACTGCGGGTTCTCCGATGCTTTACGTTTGTGCCTTCCGTACTCGTTCCCTGCTGACCACCGGCTCCCGCACTATACATATTGGCCTCTCTGTCGTAGAGTTGGTCTGTGGTGTTCGGATTGTACCAAAAAGCAACCCCGTCAAAATGCGTTGGAGGACCGGTCAGGCGCGGATGGTGGTATCCAGCGCTGAAGTTGCTCGGATAGACCGCATAACTCGGATCCACCAAGTTTGACATTGGCATGTTCATGCCATGTTCGTAAGGTCCGCTCATGCCTACACCCGTCTGTCGCACAGACACCCACAAGAATGAGCGCCAGGCGACTCAACACGACCTCAAATCCCCACGATACAGACCGTTTATGGAGGCTACTAGGCGTCGGCTGCGTGGCTTGAGAGGCAGATTCCCGGGTAACGGGTGACGGCCTGTCAACTGGCTGGACTTGATCAGGAGTGTTGTCTTGAGCAGGTCGCCGAATAGAGAAAGACTCCCTCAGAATGGTGTAACGACGACCTTGACTCCGTATACCTGTCTCAGTCCTGAACCACAGAGTCGATCCAACCCGGCACTTTTTGGAAGGAGAGCGGTCGACCTAGTCCATACCAAAAGGGCGAGCAAGAGAATTTCGGACCGCGGAGCGATGCAGGTAATGTTCTCGCCGGGTTCGCACAAAGATTTCTTCCGAGAATGCTATTGTATCTCTCGAATCTGGCGAAGCTTGTGCATGGCACACCTCCGATAGAGCGGAAACTCGACGGAGCAATGCAACGGGCGTGCGTTTCTTGTGTCGCCGGCGCTCCCAAAACTCTCGTGCGGGAGGGAGATGCTGTACTGTAAAGACCGAAGGTGGAAATGTAATACGCAGGCGCGGCCGTGTTCCCAATGGCAACCAGGTATCAGTCCCTCCTTTGCACAAAGGCCACCCGGTCAGGAAACCCCAGGAGCATCAAGCTCAGTCAGCACCAATGGTCTGGAGAGCGTGCGCGCATGAAGTCCTTGAGATTGGGAGGACCTCCGCAGCACAGGATAGAAGGGCCGCTGAACCGTGGGAAGAGGTACAGAGTGCGATTGTATGACGAGAATCTGTGTCTTTGAGCGGATATGAAAAGGTTCAAGAGTCCAAGGTTGGGGGGGGGGGGTATCCCAAGGGCTGTAAGGGACCCGCAGAAGGACCATTGGATTGCAGCAACGCTATGCCATAGTGGCGGCTCTCGGGCGCGACCAGGGTTGTTCGCTCATCCCAAGGTGCCAACCACTTTGGCCTGGTGGAAGTTGTACTACTGTACAATAATATGGAGTACTGTCGTCAGGCCTTGACTCCCGCCATGGCTGGGGCTTGTAGGGATGATCCCACCGGCCATGGAAACACGGGTCCTCTGGCCCTCGGGCTCTGGAAAGCAGTTGAAGCAACTGAGGCTCCAAGCTTTGCCAGCTCGGACCACTGGGCGGCCACAAATTGGATGCTCCCTCCGCCCCGAGTCTCCCTACTCCGTACTCCTACAGTACGAGTTCAGCATGTGCCCCGTCGTTCTCGAGCATAATGTCGAGGTTGGTCCGAAATCTCAGTTAGCCCATGCCACTAACTACTTCGTGGGAGTCACTCGTTCGCAGCGCTCATGGAGCTCCCTTAGCTTCCGGCCTCGAACCTCATTTTCTAGTGCAACGGGTCTTGATGTGAACTTTCACTGTTTTGCCACGAGTGCGAGCCCCTCGTTCAACGGAACGGCACCATGCTCCTGCATCCGTAGTAAAAAGTCTAGTTTATCATTGCACATCCTACTTGTGCAGTTCGGTCAACCGCCACGATCTGAGGAAAGAGTGCGGGTCATAGATGAGATCCTGGACCTTACCGTCACGCAGACAGTCCAATCGAATTGTTCCAAGCCTGAGACTATAGACATATAGGAAATTGGCTTGGACGAAATTGACCGTTGTCGGCGGTTGACGTCGGAGATATGGGTACCTTTGTTGCAAATGCCCATGACCAGTATGGAACGCTCAGCGATAAGGTCCTCTCTCTCTCCGCGGTGTCTTGGGTGGCATTGGAACCGTGTCATCGTGACAAACACTCCTCTCGATTGCTATCTTTTGTCGCTACCTGCATGAAGGGCTTGCTCCGCCCAATGGTGGCCGCACAGGCTTTCTTCTGACAAGGGCTGATTGGATTGCACACATGCGCTCCATGATGTGATAGATTCGTGAGCGCATCACGGAATACCTCATGGACTCCCGTGGTGCATCTCCATCTCCTTGATTAGGCAAAACAAGTGCAAACGGCCGCAGGGATGTGGAAGCCCGGATGCGCCGCTACAAGCCTCTGCAATCAGAGCTAATGCCACGTTCCTCGGTCCGCATAATTAAGCTGTTGGCTCACATGGGTGGGCGAATGACCACGTTGCATAGGTGGTGTGGAGGCGCCTTGAAAGAGGCTGCGTATCGACTAATGGAGCCCACAAACTTACAAGTACACGGTCTCTCAATCGTTGTACCAGACATTTGGATTGGCCCCCAGAAGGCTCTGAGGCGTGCAGCAAATGCACTGGTGCCCTGGACCCAGCAAAAATAGCGACCTGATTGCGGACACACTGGTGACCGATCAGAAACACCGGTAGGGGAGACTCTGCCGACTCAGAGTTAAGCACCAAGTACAAATCCATGCCCGTGCTTCAACGTTATTGATCTTTTTTTGCTTCTAGTAGCTCTTGAGTTTTGGATCCACGTTGGAAGCGTATCCAAGTGGCGCCCTAGAATGATGGAGTCCATTTAATCATGGGGTGGTCGCTGAGTCCATGCAACATCCTGGCCAGACTTTCCTTCACGCGCGGGAGGTCGATACATCACATTAACAAGGCCTGCGAAGCCAGGGTACGAACGAAAGGGAGGCATGATTTGAGTTGTCTGACTCAATCCCGGCCCTGGGTCGCCGTATTTTGCAACGGCATGCGTGCTAATGCGTTGCGATGAAGAGCATCTCCAGGGGGGCCACATACAAGATCCCTAGACATGCTCCGTAACTAGCATGAAGACTTTGACGGGTGGCTAGCCCAACTCTGGTGCACTTATCATGACCTCGGGATTCGAGAGCCTTCTAAGAATCCTGATGGCCCCGGGTGAGGTATTGTACGCCCCTTGTCGCAGATCGTCATCTGCCCAGAGAAGCCGCTTGTTCCTCCTGCAGGCGGCAGGGTGCCTGGTCTCTCCACTTTGGTGTACGCCCGCGGGCTTAAGTTCGGGCTAAAAGAGGCTATCGACACAAGTGGCCTGGGGTAGTGAAAACCAGGTCAATTCTCGTCATCGTGGCCGGAGCTCCCGAAACATTGGAGGCCTGGGAGACCTTCTCGCAACCTGATCAGTGATAGTCTGATAGAGTGATGGAGGTCCCCGCCGAGCAAAGGCTTGAGCAGCTATGTATGGCATCAGTGATAATACATACAATAATAATTACGGTACACCGAAGCATCCCGTGGTCGGTTGAAATGACAGACCATCCCATCATTCCTATTCTAGACGCCGTTGGTGGGTGTTGCGGTGCGGGTCTCGCCTTCCATGGTCGATCATAGCAATCATCTGCAGCATAGGCCAACAGGCCCAGTGGACGGCGAATGCTGACGGGGATTGCAAAGGTGTCTGGTTACGAGCACTCCTTTCTCGTCCTGGTCGATTACCCATCGTGGACCTGAGATGCGACCGCCATCGACCACCGTCATTTGTGTACTCCGTACATGCGTGGCGTCTGATTCGAGATGATCAGTACTGTACCGAGTACGGATGCCCAGGGTACCTGTACTGTACCTTGAAAACTCAGGGAGCGGTGGCCAGTATGCCAATCACTCAGACAACATTTCACAAGGGGGCTTTCCACTAGTTTGAAGACCATGCGGTTTCACAATGAGGAGAGGGTCAGCCGTTGAGACACGCGTGTTACTGCTCTCCTTCGATCAGACGACATTCACTACGGCATAGTGATAGCCGTGTTATCAGTGCGATACTGTAGAACGTTCCTTGGTGACGGGCGGGCCCCAATCTAGTTCTTATGGACCACCGTATCCATCAACCACTAGCTTTGCTGATCGACTTGGAGCTTCATCCTATGATGGCACGGGGATTTTCATTGTGCGTGGAACTGAGGTACCAAATATCGACCTGAGCCGGAAATCCTTGCTGACACCTTCATGAGTCGGCGCTTGTCCTCGACTGGCCTTTGCTCAAGGCAGCCATACCCTGGCTCTTGATTTCTCGTATGTGTGCTTTTGAGCCTGGGGCTGTCTGTGGCTGTCTGGAGTCCTCGTTAGTTGTCTTCTGGCCATGCAAGCGTCCCACACCACCACCACCACCAACCACCACCACCATCGACAAGAACAACAAGTCCCCGCCACGATACGAGGAGGAAGGAGGGAATCGCAAGGGAACGCAAGGCACCATCACCTCACCGCCTGATGATTAAGCCTGCGTTCAAGTGTGCTGGGGCCCGATGGCATGGGGAGGTTTTCTTTGTGGTCCATGGCTGGAACAATACAGTCAATGACTGCAGACGCCATCTCCTTGAATACGGTCAGATTGCGAGTACGAATGAAACCCTGTTAGATGGAGCGACCATTCTGAGATCCCGTCTTAGTTGCGATATTTGGGGACAATTTCCGAGCCCATCAATGACTAAAGCACATCGAACTATTGCCATTTGCATCTCAATTTCCGAGACTTTGGCTGACCGCTAAGCAAATCCTAGCTGCCCATGTATGAATACGGGTAGGTGATCGAGGTTCCGTCACCCACAATAACGGCTTTGACGGTAACGGCGCTCCAAAAGGTTTCATCGCTTTGTCTCACAAGTATATTGCTAAATGACTTTGCCTACCCCCTAGAAGGTTACCAGCTCCAAGAGGAATAGCTCCGTAGAGATCATACACACACGCGCGCCAATGGGTAAGCAAATTGGCGCTAAATTCACTCCATTGACCGACAATATTGCTAGGAGGATGTGAGACAACAGGTTGATCCCGAAGAGAACACGTCCCCTTGCAACCTGGGATGAGCACAATCTCAAGCTCGGCGCACCGGCTACGTTGAGGAGTCGGGCCCTGTCAATACCCAACACGCGCCAGCCTATAACCCGTCTCAGCGACAAGTTTAAAGAGATTCGTAAATCGTGAAAAGGTTATCATGAAGGATTGATGGTATCAAAGATTAGGCGCCAGAGGGGATCATAGCGTGACGGGAGCTCCTCCTGCAGCTCCTGGCGCTGAACTCGACGGCATGGCTTTCTCTTGCACACCTTGACCGCGGCACAGGGGACAACTATTCCGGCCAGTCGTGAGCCACTAATTATCGTCAGTATTGTGTCTCTTTCAATGGATCAGCACAAACCTACCTCATCAATGCATTCACGATGGTAGAGATGTTGACACTTATTGAGCTGTCGCACTTCGTCCAATGCTTCGTAGTCGGACAGGCAAATGAGGCAGCGCTCCCCGTGGTTGACCATAACAGACACGCCATGAGCCTCCGACAAAGCCTCCCCTCGGAGCCCACATTCATGTTCTAGAAGGCGAAAGAGCCCGCCCGCGGAGCTGACGTCTTCCTGTGTTGCCACTGGTGGTTTTACCGGTCCGAGAAGTGTTGACAACATTTGCATATCCTCGTAGGACGGATTATCAGTGAATAAACTTGGCATTGTGAAAGCTGGATGATCGGGGGAAACGTTCGTGCCAACAACATAGATGAGCCAACTACGCCCAGCACCCATTGGCGGATGGTCAGGTTCGACCATGCCATTTCGTCTGGCCGCGCCAGATCCTAACTCAGGACGTCGAGCAAATTCTGAATCACTTCGTCTTCGCTGTCTCGCTGTATTGAAAGAGGTTTCCGAAGCAACAGTTTCTTGACTCGCCGTAGGTTGGTCTTCATCTAACTCTGGCAGCGCGGAGTTCTGGGCTGCGGAAGCAGAGGAGGGACGTCGAATGGGAGTCGCATGTCCGCTTCTAATATCAGCTGGAGTGGACGGGGGTGGATTCGGTCCAGGTGGACTCTCTGACAGATGGGAGGTGTTTCCCGCACCATCAGGCATGACTGGGAGAGTTGCCTCTGCAGTACCCGACGGTCGTCCCATGTTGGGGCGCGTCCGCTGATGTCTCTGGCTCTCGTATTGCGCAGGAAAACTGAAATTTGTCATCGAGTGCCGCCGGGGACTTGACCTTGATCTTGCATCTGACCGACCAAACAATGCCCCAGAGCTCCCGTTCCGCAGTACGTTGGCTGGTGGTAAAAAGGGCAGGCTCAGCAACGTGTCCAAGCTGGGGCCCAAGGTGCCATTCTCTCTGCTCCCGCTTTCTTGACCGTGTGGCAAGGATCGTACACCCACGAGCACCAATGTTACTGACCTGTCTGTCTCTGCGGGTGAAGTAATCGAGTCGATGTCCATTTGATCGATGTCTCTGGACTGTGCCTGAGACGCGATAGGCGACCCGTTTTCGTCGTTTGGAAACTGAAACACTCTCATGAAATTCACCGGAGGTAGATCTCCGTCTGAAGAGTTGATGTCTACCCCTTCTCCCGCCTGTGCCGTGGCGGCATCCTGGAGCGTTTGGACAAAGTTTTGGATGCTGCCGTCGAATGTATCGCTACCGAGATGGCGACCGGCAGGGTTGCCACCTGTAGCATGTCCCGATAGCTGAGCTGCAATAGCCGCTGCTGCAAGTTGTAGAACCTGGGAGAGAGGCGGGTGCTCACCTCGACGTATGAGCCTAGTAGATCGAGAGCGAAGGCCAGGCTGAAAACGCCTTATAGTGCTCATACCAGAGGTTACCCTCGGACTAGCCAGCAAAGTTCGTGTTTCCGGCTCAACGGCATCTAGCTCGTGAGGCGCCTCGTCTGTCTCCGTTCGTTGATCGCCTGGCTGAAGTGAAGGTAATAAATGGTCACGTTCGTCGGCGAATGTTACCGCCCTGGTCGGTCTAGCAGGAGATGACCTTCCAGACTGGTCTCCTTCAGGTGTCTCCGTAGAATGGCCAAAGAGTCCAGAGAGTCGTGCAGAGATCGAGATCGAGTCACGAACCCTGCTGAAGCGATTTCGATGTCGAAGGGAGGTCGTGCCTGGAATGGAAACCTCTCGGGGGACATCGAACAAGTCTGCGGAAGAGCCTGTTGGATCCGACGGCTGACGGTTATTGTGCAGAAGTGGAAAAGGTGCTCTTACGGTGCGCCGTGTTGATTCTGTGCGGACGTTGGGTCTTCTGCTGATCGAATCGGCCAGAGACAGTCGACTGCTGGACTCACTATGCGGTGACCTCTCGTAGACTGACAGTCGCGAGCGATCTGACGAACCGTACCGTAACGCATGACCCTCTTCTTCGGTTTCCTCTCCACTGTTCAGGAGCCCCCTTGCCACGGAATCTGGCAAGAGCCGCGACCCAAGCCTCGACATCGCTATCCGACGGCGTGATGATGGCTGAGATACGCTTGGAGATGAAGCCGCACCGGGCATGTCGGTGTCACTCAGCTCCACGAGTGGTCTGTTGTCTTGCTCATACTCAATCTCTTCAGGAGGCGGAGACGCGTTAGCTGCAGTCGTCCGCGAACTGGTCCAATCTGTCAGTCTATGGCGACGAAAAGTGTCATATAGTATGCTGGCCCTGTGGCTTGCAGCCCTCAGAGACCCTGGGGTTCTCCTGCCTGTGGGCATGTCTCTGTCTTCGGAGCTCGTGTCGCCATCTCTGATGACACCATTGATTCTCGCATGCCGGACCTCTTCTACTTGCCCGTCGTCTGGCTGAGTGCGTTGGCTGGAGGTAGTGTTCCCCATGACGTCTGGAACTTCGACGCCGGATCAACAAGGTGCGCTACTGTATGGCATGGCAGAGGAGGTCAGGGTGAGGTGCTTTTCAGCTAGCGTGACACGAAGGTAGGATCGGTGGTGAGGGATCGTCGAATAACGTAGGAGTTCTCGTGATTGCCAGTGAAATACGAAGGAGATGGCTCGTAGGAGGAGTGTCAGCAATGTTGGACGTTCATCGAGGCGCTTAGGGCACCGTGTGGGCTTTGTGTTGTGGCTGCTGGTCGTCAGTTGTGGATGTGAATAATACACATTAGAAGATGAAGTAATGCTTGACAGGGCCAACAAATATCGTGAAGAGGCAAGCAAACACGAGTTGGTCTGCCGGAAGCAAAGGGTCAAGTGTTGGATGGTGATGGTTTGAAGGCTGAAGTGAAGCGGGAGCGACAAGCGCATGCCTAGCACTTATCCGTGCCTGATGCGTTACTAACCACCAACAAGTACCTAATGATGCTCAACTCGCAGTACGTGCACGGCCACGAGTGTCGTCTGATCAAACATCCCAGCCCCCAACCAATAGCACCATCTTCGTTCCAATAGCCTTGAGATCCCTCAGTCCGCTCCGCCCTCTGTACCGTGACTGTTGAGCGCCAGTCCCTTTTGATAGCGGCTCCTCCTCTCCATGTGACCGGCCAATCCATACACGCAGATTCCTCGACGCAATGAGCAGCCTCGATCCAGCTTCATCTCATGATGAAACCCGTCTTCAATCCCCCCATAGGCGGCCAGGCGTTAACTGGCAGCGTAAGACGATCACACTCAGCAAGAACCAAGCGCAAGAGGAGGGATGCACACGATGGAGAGCAGGAACACCAGGACGATGAGCTGCTTGACAGAAACAAAAGGCTGCCTGGATCGGTGAATCTCGAGTATTCTGCTGTCGTAACACCGTTGGAGAGGCACCAGCATCGCATTGCTGGACTGCCTCTCGATCAGCATCCGCCGTCGTTTCCTTTTCCTCATTCTCAGGTCTCTTCCACCCATCGTCAAGATCGGGTTCGGACTGAGCTGAGTGGTGTCGCACGCGAAGAACCCAGAGATGCACCACAGTCCCTCCATTTTCAACACTTGGGCGCCCTCACGGCTGTGGTCCACCGCAGCTTACTCAACGAGGATTTCGCCCGTGCTTCAAGAGCTTTGGGTCTAATGTTTCGAGATGCTAGTGTGAGACGCAGCACGGCTCCTCGGAGTCAAGGATACATGGGCATCGCCGCTGAAGTTTTGCTGCGAAGAGGTTCTGCTAAGCCCAATTCTAGCAATGCCTCGCCGTTCATTGCGTTCACCCGCGAAGGGTTTGGGAATGCTATGCGCTTTTATGAGAGACTCATTGTGAAGCATCCGTATCACAAATCCTGGCCTGGCTCCACCAATGCTGTTGATTTTTACCTAGCGATGTTCAACGTATGGGTCTACGTTGTGTATAGTGAGCACAGCTCCTATGCGCAAGCCCTTACGAGAAGCGGCGAAGAAGCCGAGATGGATGGCGCAGATATGCCCATCGACAACAAGGTGAGAGAGCTTGAAGAAGCCAAAACAATCGCTTCCAGGATGGACACCTGCTTGGCAAATCTCCCTTACAAGGACGAACCAGAACTTATCAGACTACGAGCCATGGTTGCTTTATGGATTGCAGATCTCCACGGCGATATATTGAACTCACGACAGAATCACGTCGAGAGCGCCAGTGATGGATACTCGGGGAAGTCTCTGCAGTCTCTGTCTCCGAGAGAGGCACAAGGTTGGACCGAGGACCACAGCTACGAGGCTGTCAAGGCACGGGATGTTGCGGAGGAGTTGCTAGCAAGGCTGAGAAATCACACGGGCCCTGGGGAGGACGGGAGTGAGTGAACCAGTGATTGAAAGCATGAGACTTGCATGCAACAGCACAGGACAAGCGAGCGACATGAGGGCGATTTCAGAGGTGTCGCAGTAGCGCTAAAGAACAGAAGGAGGCAAGAAAGGGGGGAAAAGGAGCGCAGCATCAGCTTGCGGCAATCTGGCTCTTGCGCCACGTGTGCCAACGCCTTCTCTTCGTTCGAGTCTGAGTCTTGACGGCGTGCGAGGCTTGTGGTTCACTGCACGGAAGCTTACGGAGAACGCAGTCTCGTATAGGGTTGATGGGCGCGACACGTGACTCGCATGCTGCAACCGCGGCTTCTCATTCGTGCAATTGCAGACATCTGTCCAACGTCCCTTTTCTCTCCCATCTTCACCCAGTCGATGCCCCGACCTTACGAGGCGTCGCACTTCACATGCGCCATCTGCGGCTGTCTATTGCTGGCAGCGCTTGATGGCCTTTTCCACATTTCATGTCCTCGCCACTCGATCTAACGCATGACCCTGGCTATGATCATGATTCGTCGAACCCTCGATCCCAGGAGCCGTTCACGGCGGGAGATCTTTTGGCTCCACGATAGTTGTTTAAGATGCAAAAACACAGGAGAAGAACGAGGGACAAGGACAACGAACTGCTCTTCCTCTTCTCCGGCTCTTCAACGGGGTGTTGTTTTTCGCCCGGTACGCAACAATGGACTTCTTCAGCTACTCGGAATGGCAGCGACTTGAATACTTTCACCTTGATATCGCAATGATCGGCGTGGCATTTTTGGCCCTCGTGACAGTACTGGCATGTCTCGTGTACAAGCTTGGCTCGAAATTGTCCCTCGACGACCTCACGGTTCATCCCTACCTTCGATTTGCCTACGTCTGTATGATCAAACCTCATGACGGACGGGCAGAGGCAGGGCAGCAGTCGGCCCTCGAGAGCTTCTATGCAGCACAGGTAAGCTTAGACCATTCGCTATGTAGTCTTCCTCGGCTTGTGTCTCATGTATGCCAGGCCAGTGTCTATGATGCGACCAGAAGACGGTTGTTGCGAGGAAGAGAGGACATGCTTTCGATACTGGCTGCAAAGTTACAGGCTCGAATATCCCCAGACGGTGCTCCAAAGCCAGTCTGGTACGACATTGGCGGAGGGACCGGCTATAACATCGAGGCGATGGACAAGCTCGTAGGAGTTGACAGCTTCTTTGAGCATGTCTTCTTAGTCGACTTATCCACGTCCTTGTGTGACGTGGCCCGTGAACGGGTCCGAAAGAACGGATGGAAGAATGTTACGGTTCTCTGCCAAGATGCGCGCACCATTGCATGCACTGCGTCGACCGCCGATCTAATTACAATGAGCTACAGTCTGTCGATGATTCCGGATTTCTACAGCGTTGTGGATCTTATATCCGGGTTTCTCGCGCCACAAGGCATCGTCGGCATCGTCGACTTTTATGTGCAGAGCATTGTGGACGTCTCGTCGCGGAACTACATTGGTGGGACTTTCAATAGACATGTGAATTGGGTGGGACGGATGTTTTGGCGAACATGGTTCGACGCAGACCGGGTAAATTTGGATGGTGGTCGAAGGGATTATGTTGAGTACAGGTTCGGGACAATCCTCTCTGCGAGCGAGAGAAACTATATGCTAGGAGGGTAAGTCGTGGTGATCACTACAGCAAGCAAGAGAGAACTGCATCTTAACCTAACCAACACATCCAGGATTCCGTACTACATTTTCATCGGTTGCAGACGAGACGCCGACACCCTGGGCGAGCATGGCAATGATATCCTGGAGAAACTCGACGCGGCCTTAACCGAATCACCATATCTTTCGCCTCTAGAATTCCGCAAACAACAGGCCATCGAGGCACAACAGAGCATCCCACGGTCAAAATCCTACGAATCTGCCATAGTCAACTTGAGCTCCAATCTTCCCCTCCCAGCAGCTTTCTACCAACAACACCAGTGGCGCATCTACTACAATGACCTCCTCCAAAAGCACCAGCAGTTCGGGAGTGAATATATCTATGCTTTCAACTGGGAAGATCCCAAAGTCGACCGGCAGCTCCTGAACATTTCCAGAGACGATGTCATCCTTACCATTACCAGCGCCGGCGACAATATACTAGACTATATGCTGGAACGGCCTAAACGCATTCATGCGGTCGATCTGAACCCGTGCCAAAACCATCTTCTCGAACTGAAGGTCGCAGCGTTCACGGCGTTGCCTTACGCAGACGTATGGCAGCTGTTCGGCGAGGGTCAGCATCCCGACTTCCGCAACCTTCTTCTACAAAAGCTCAGCCCTCACATGTCCAGCCAAGCATTCCAATACTGGCTCAATCGTGCGTCTGTCTTCTCGACACCAGGCGGCTTGTATGAGAGTGGTGGCTCACGGCATGCCATTAAACTTGTCCGGAGACTTGCCAAGGTGTGTGGGCTAACGTCGAAAGTAAACACGATATGCAAGGTGGAGACGCTCAACGAGCAGCGTGAGATCTGGCCGTCTATTCGGAACGTACTTCTCAGCTGGCCACTGCACAAGGCCATCGTCTCGACTGAATGGTGGGCATGGAAAGCTGCCGGTGTTCCACCAGCACAGCATGCGTTGATCTTGAATGATTTCGCTCAACGTTCCCAGACGTCCAAGAGCAAGAAGGTTTGTGGAGAGGCGGTCTGGAAGTATGTCGTGGACACACTGGATCCCGTGGTCGAGACGACACAGCTGAGTCGAGACAATTACTTTTATTATGTGTGTTTGCAAGGCAAATACTCAAGAAAGTATGTCGCACGCACATCGACTCTAACTTTTGGGTAAAAGAGAATGTTTCGCTGACTTTAGCAGATGTCATCCACGGTATTTGGGCGTTAAGGCCTACGCACAGCTCTCTAAGCCGGAGACGTTTGATGGATTGCGCATCCACACAGACGAAATTATGGAGGTCATTGCCAGAATCAGTCCCTCAACCCTCACAATTGCAATTGTAAGTGGTCGTTCCAAGATCAACCATGAAAGATTCGGGCCAGGTACATGGTGCTGACTACGCGGTGACGCAGCTGATGGATTCGATGGATTGGTTCAACCCTGAGGAAAGCGCTGCGCAGGAACAGATCGTCGCACTGAACAAGGTTCTGAAAGTAGGCGGACGAGTCCTTTTCCGGTCGGCAGCTCTACGCCCGTGGTACGCGGACATTTTCGAACAAAACGGCTTCGAGGTCAGGTGTGTGGGACGACGAGATTCAGGCAAGTGTATCGATCGGTAAGTGGTGGTTTGATGTCATTTTTGATGTTGTGGGTTGAAGTCGTACTGACCCTTGGGTGTTGGCGCAGCGTCAATATGTACGCCTCAGCCTTTATCTGCACCAAGAAGCACGACATCGTGTCTAGTCCCGTATTAGATCTGAAGTCTGTTGGCACTGCCGCCTCGTTGGAGGAATTGTCAATATGAGTGAGGGCTGGTGCAAGGGCTGGTGGGCCAATGCGAAGAAGTGGATGGCTATCGGCGGTTTCACGATGCTGCGACGACTTTATTTTGTCATTGCCAACAAACAGTAGGGAGCATGAAATTGGCAGCTGGCGATTGAAACGCAGCTTTGTATGTTTTACGAATCTCATTTGCCAGACTTTGGGTTATACCACGGAGAGGGGGGTGTTAAGAAGAGATGCATCTTGCATGATTAGATTGCTCTGGGCCCCGTGGGGGGAGACGGATTCTGAATAGTTGAGGTTCCATAGTATGAAGAGATAGATACAGTACAAATTACAAACGTGATACAAGAATACACTTTCCAAGAAACGATCTCTGTGTGCATACCAGGAGATGACGAGATGCGCGGCTCATGTCGTATGCCTCGGGTACGCAGTACGCGGAGTTGAGTTGTCCTGGTAGTACGAGCACCGGTACCTAACCTATACCCGGCGTCAATTGATGACCTTGAGAGGATCCGGAGCCAGAGGGTACCTAGCGGATGAATAAGGTACGGAGGGGTGAGAGGTATTTTAAGCGCCTCCTTCACGCTTTGCGTACCTGGAGGGAGGGTCGGGGGTTTGCGTCAGCGAGCACAGCACGACGAGGTTAATAAAAGGGAGGAAAAAGGGCGGCGGGAAAAGGGAAAAAAAAGGGGAGAAAAGAAACAGCCAGGTGGACCCACTCGTCCTCCATCCTTTCAAGATACTGACGATCCCGTTCTTCCTGTTCGGGATCGACGGCGGCATCGTCGTCGTCGTCGTCGGTGACGTCCTGGATTCTGTTTTGGGCGTGAGTACCGTCGGACGACACACCGCCTCCGTCTGCGATGCCCCTCGTCACCCCGCGTCCTTGTCCCGGCCCAGCACCGGTACTCGTCGCGGGAGCGTGATACGCCTCGGCGAGGATGGGCTTGCCTGTTTCCTCGTGAGTCCTATACACCGTGGTCCCGTCGCGGTCGTTGCTGGTCACGGTCTCGGTGTAGCGTTGAGAGTGGGCTTGGTTGTGGCCATTGTTGCCTCTGGCCGCGTCGGACGAGGAAGACGCAGTGCCGCTGCTGCTATATGTCGCCGAGACGAAGGAGGAACTGCTGTAGCTGTAGTTGGCGGACATGGTCGTGGCTGTGTTTGGTCTGACTCGGGTCAAAACTGAAAAAACTGCGCGTATGTCTCCCCGTGTGTGTGCGTGTGTGTGTGTGTGTGTGTGTGTTTGTCACACAGGGCACCCTGTACGGGTAACTGTGACTACCGACTAAGGTAGGATTACGGTGGTGTCGAGAGTTGGTAACGGGGTCAGTGTAGTTGTGATTATGATAGACTCTGATGAGAACCAGAAAAGAGAGGGGAAAAAAAGCATAAGTAAAAGGATAAAAAGAAAAGGTTATTACGTAGGGTACCTCGATACCCAAGAGGAATGAATATCAACCATGTACGACGAGTACCGGTGTTTCAGGTGGTGATTGATGCCTGTCCTCCTATGAGGAGATACGGTCTCATGACGCTTAGTTTTTAATGGAGCAAACAGGTTTCGCGCCAGCTTCAGGATACGAGTCCGAGTGCGAGTACCAGTGACCAGTGAACCAGTGAACAGCGACCAGACGACGATGGAACTGGCGGTGGGGACGGTGGCGATGGCCAGTCTACGAGGTACTCGGAACCTCTGTGAACTACGCGTCGAGGACGAAGCGAGTAGGGATGCGAGGAGTCCAGAATATGATGTCTAGGATGAAGTCAAAAGCAATGAATTGCGGGGAAAATGAACCAATCCTTCATACGAGTACCTGCTCGTCCGACTCACTATGTACGAGGACGAGACCTCCTGTTCCGTTAGGTACCTCCAATCGTAGAATGTCGGGATAGACCTTTCGAGATGACATCAATTATACTCTACATCTCATGTGATATAATAATCTCCTTCTACCCGTCCCCGTGTACTCGTAGGTGGACACGTCGTTGCGCGGACAAGACTCCAATGTCACGGTTTTGCACAGTGTGTCAAACATCACCCCTTCACAGCACATCTGTATTCGATGATATCCTCGACCACGTCCTCCATGAGATCTATGTTCTTCATGTCTGCGATCCAACGCTCCGGCACTCCGTCAACGGAATAAAAGGCCCCAGCGAGACCACCGTATATTGCCCCGATGGTATCTGCGTCGTCTCCAAGATTGACTGCTCGTGTTGCCCCTTGTTCGAAACTGTCGGTCGAGAAGAAGGCCCACAGGGCAGCCTCGAGACTGTCCACCACGTAGCCTGTGCTTCGTATCGAGTCTGGCGGAGTCGAGCGCCAGTCTTCAACGGTCTGATATCGCCCGAGACGCTGCTTCAGCACAGCCTCCACGTATTCTCCGGCCACACGGCCTCGGTGGTGCGGACTACGAGTACTGCTGATTGAACAGCCCAGTGTGCTCGCCATTGTGCTCTTCGAGCACCCCTGGAGAGCTTGGACGACCACGGACACGTAAATCATGCAGGCGTGTTGACATCTTGTGTGAGGATGTGTTGGAAGCGAACTCTGTCTGGCGAGCTCGATAGCCATGTCGTGGTCCTCCGAGACGAGTGCCACGGGTAGAACACGCATCAAGCTCCCATTGCCGCAGAACCTCTCGCCCGAGTACCTGGCAACGACGTCCGCTTGAGCCTCCCGCGCCGCTGCCTGCTGGGCGTTGTCGTCCGGGTTGCGTCGCTGGCCCTGCTTTGCGAGATACTCTGACCACACAGACAGGGCATCGCGAGTAAGATTGCCTATGTCGAAACACTCGCCTGTCGAAGACATGTATCCCTTTCTCCACCATGCGATATACTTCTTGACCTGGTCCGCGGTGTCGTGCCGGCCACTGCGGTCCAGGAGCGACCGAGCCAGACACAGAGCCATCGATGTGTCGTCCGTAAAGCATCCTGCGGGTATCCCAAAGTTGGCATTCGGCAACATCGAAGTGACTTTGGAGAAGGTGTCCCGTGGCTTGAATTCGACGGGCCCGCCGAGCGCATCGCAGACTGCCATGCCGAGAAAGGACCCGCGGATCCGCGAGCGTAGTGATATCGGCGCAGACATGGCGAGATGATGTCCTTGCTGTGAGCGGGAGTGATTTCAATTGTCTGTCTGAGCCAAAGGGTATAAGAGAGCTATCCCTTCCGAGCTTGATGAGTCTTTCCCCTGAGGACGAAGAGCTGGCTAGTGTGGCACAGCCTCCCTCCGCCGACATCTAGGCAGCTGGATGGACATTGTGTCCAGCCCACATTTAGTTTGCAGAGTACTTAGCAACAGCTGTAGCAAAGAAACATTGGTTACTCGGCTGTATTTCGATGCACTGTCATCTTGAGGAAGACACAAGGTACCTACCCTCCTCAGGCACCCACAGAGGAGTAAGGTGGGGATTATATAGGTTGTCTGACAAGTGCCACCATATGGCGGCACTAGACAACGCCCACGTCAGAAATTCAGTCAGACGGCACCCCGAGCAGCCCCTCGGCTGGCGATGTTCCACGGCAATCGATAAGCCGATAAAGGTCCCTCCAGGCGGACAACTCCTTATCGTCCTCAGGCGGTGAAGAGATCAATCACCCCGCCAGGGAGTAAGATCAGCCCACGTCAAACCATGCGAAATTGTTTTCAGAACGACGACAAGTGGCATGAAGAAGACACTGAGGAAAGGAGAGAGAGGGATTGTAATCTTTTCGATTGCCTATTTCATGCTATGAGGTAACATATTTGCTTTCTCCTCTGCCGTGCACCATCCCCTTGCTGAACGAGTGTGGACGGCCCGGCCATTTTAACCACCAAGATGTGAAATAAGGAACGTGCTGTCAAATCTTGTGTCCTGACGAGGAATTCAAGGTCATCGAACAGAGCCCCGTTATAGACTTATTTCTGTGTCGATAGTTAGTGACAAGGCTGTAAGCAAGCAAGACTTCTGCTAGCATACGCATGTGCATTTTCCCGCAGGGCAACCGCCTGGTATCTTGTTAGCCACACATATCACGACTGCTGCAGTGGTGATCCTGAACATCAGGGCACTCACAGTTGGCGCCACAGCTGCAGCTACAGGGACCTGGAACGACGTCAGCAAGAATTCGACTTCTGGAGTCAATGCCGGGGCCATACCCATTTTGTATTGGAAAGTGATGTTCTGGTGGGCTGGAGAGAGATTGAGTTTTGCGTGGCTTGACCGTGTAGGCTTAGACTTGACCGTGTCTTGGAATTGCCGGTTGCTGATTTTTTGGTTTTGAAGGAAGAGAAGAGGAAAAGGAGTCGAAGACAGAGAAGTGAGCAAGTTTTTAAGTACGAGATTCCATCGACGCAGCTGACTTGTCTGGATCCCGCCGCACTAGCCGCAGTCGCTCCCTGCTGCCCCTCAATGCTCGACTCCTGCAAACCGCCAGACGTCTGCTGTTGGAACCACCACGGCCTCTGAAACCGACAGCTTCGAACTTTGCAGTCTTCTAGTCGCATTTGTCCTTCGTCTGATTCGTCGAAATCCCACACAGCAAGTGCCAGCGTTCCGACCCTCGCATCCCAGTGTTGCAGATCCGCACGCGGGAGCCGTGGACGAGGCTTATCCCGACCAATTCACCCGTCTACGTCAGTGTTTTGTTGTGAATCTCGATTCTGATGCTTAGAATGCGAGGAAACATCACCATCAAGTCGACACAGATTGGACGTCAGCAGAATACTGCAAACTCGACGACAAAGCCCTTGGGGGAAAAACAAACTCCACCCCTACCTTTCCACTGAGACAAAGCCAGGCATAAAGTTCCATCTATTCAACCACCATGACCACCACCGTACATATCACCTGCTTGTGTGGGAAGAACGCAGAAACCCTGCAGTTGGATGCGCATCTCCCTGTTAGCGTCTCTCCATGTTCATGTGACGAGTGTCGTCGCAGCACTGGGATGCTGTACTTCTCCGGCCTTCCCATTCCTTCGCGGCCCGGTGTTGTTGATGCTTTGACCGAATACAAGTCCTCTGAAAAACTGAGCCGTTACTTCTGTCAAACATGTGGCTCCCATATGGTTCTACATGTTGTCAAAGACGATGCTTGGTCTGTATGTTCTGGAGTGGTCGAGCGGGTGGTGGGTCTTGAGCAAGTTTCTCGCCTTAGCCTGGAAAAGATCGTGCAGCACGAGTTTGTAGGCGATACTAGGGATGGCGGCCTGGCGGCCTGTCTAGCTAACTTCCATGGCCGCTCGGTGCCGCTGTTCGATCAAGGACCCGGAGGCGGTGAACTTGAGCGGCCGCTTGTTGCTCACTTCGACTGGCCCGACTCGGGCAACTCTTCGGAGGCTGCCATCACTGCGAGCCCGACATACCCACCATTGTCGAATCAGACAAATGAGATCGACGCTGCCTGCCATTGTGGAGGAGTCAAGTTTCGCATCACTCGTCCCAATGCGCTTTCGAGCCAATGCTCGTCGCCGTTCCCTGATTTGTTAGTACCTTATCATCTTTCAAGTTCGCAAAATCCACATGATGAGAAGTGGTGGCTTCGGGCAGGCGGATCCAAGTATCTAGCTGGCACTTGTGCTTGCAGGTCATGCCGCCTTGGTGCTGGATCACCGATTCAGTGCTGGGCGTTCGTGCCGAAAGCTAACATCGTGCAAGCGAATAAAGAACCACTGAGTTATGAAATGGGGACCCTGAAGCAGATCGAGAGCTCCAAAGATTGCTTTCGTGAATTCTGTCGGGTATGCGGCGCGACTGTGTTCTGGCACTGTAGAGAGAGGCCAGACTTAGTCGATGTCAGTGTTGGACTTTTGCGAGCGGGAGAAGGGTCGAGGGCCGAGAGTCTGCTGGAGTGGTGGACCGAGAGAGTGAGTTTCAGGGAGGATGCACTTGACAAAGGGCTGATCGAGGCTCTGGAAAAAGGACTGCGAGATATTGGGAGGAAGTAGTGGAACCTAGAAAATCATGGGAAGCAGCTGACGATACGTGCGGAGGCTTTTACACATTCCAGATGATGGGCATGAAGAACAAAAGAGACTCGAGAGACAGGCGACTGCGTCAATTCTCTTTCCAATGAAGTGACCTACCTTATGTTATATCGGAAGATCGAAGCAAATTGAGGACCACGGGCTGTTTACTCCGGAGATTTACACTATCTTATCTTATCGCAAGCTTGGCATATGTCTAACCTCTCTGGGTTAGAAACAGTCTGCGAAACACCCGAAGCGCAGCAAGTCCGAGTCAAAATTTTGGATGTCGTACTCTCGAATTTCCCGTCCTCACAAAACTCTCGCCCCTCCTCTACACACTCCGGCGCATGCGTTTGCATGACGATGGATTCCTATCGTCCTCGCGGCGGCGGCGACGGTGACTATCGCCCGCGACCAGGACCTGATTATGGCAATGGAGATTCTTATCGTCCTGGCTGGCGCGATGACAGCTTCAGACCCCCACCACGCGATGCCAATGAATCTAACGGAATGTACTATTTTCGAGGATCTCGGGATGAAGACTTCCGGCGGAGAGAACCGTACCGTTCTAGACAAAGAGAGCCTTTCAGGCGGAACGCACCTCACCGAGGCGATCATTTTCGACATCCCAAAGTGGCCGAGCGACCGCTACTGAGGCTCGCACACCGGCAAGAAGACTCCTCTCTAATCGATCCGAATGCAGATTTCAAGTTCCGCAACGTCGAAGATCTCACTGACAGTGAAGAGGAGGCTATGGCTGTTTCTGACAACGAGGAGCCTGCAAGGTCTACAAAGCGAGCACGTCTTGAGGATGACGATGCAATCGCAGAGTCTTCAAAGGCTAGATGGTCAAATCCTGACCCCTACACTGCTCTGCCGCCTCCGAGTGAAGCAGCTGCCAAGCGGACTGATGTACTCAGACTCATACGGAAGGCGCGCATCGACGCGAACCTCCGTTCGGAAAGTGCTTCTGAACAAGCAGACTTCATTTCGTTCGACATGGATGACACTGAGACCTCCGTCCCCGAAAGTCTTCCAACGCTACCCGTTATGGGTGCCGCCTCTTCTCAGCCTGTAGCGCCAGTCCAGCCGTCAGCCGTCCCAGTCCAGGCACCAGGTGTTGTCGACGATGGTGTCCTCGGGAAGAGAAAGAGAGGAGATGATATTGGCAAGCACACTGGAAAATCACAGATGCCCGCTTCATATTATGGTGATCGATTTGTACGGAAAGAGTGGTATAAGTCCGCAAGCACGTCATCCACACCGTGGCTGTCGACAGAAAGCTCGTCAGACCTTGCCGGAGTAGCGTAAGTCGCTTCATGCTGACATTCAAGTCGTCATGCTAATCCTTTCAGCCTCCACAAAGAGATCATTGACTTCTACAACTGGGTCAAACCGAAGCCCTATGAACAGGAAGTTCGTGATGAGGTTTTCCAGCGCTTGCGTCGAGAATTTCGGCGTTGCGGACCCCCAGGCGATCTTTATGCCTTCGGTTCGTATGCTGCTGGCCTCTACCTGCCCACGGGCGATATGGATATCGTGTATATCACATCGACCATGAGACCAGGGGCACCTCCAAGTCGAGAGGCAGCTCGTCCACTTATACGAAGATTCCACGACTTTTTGAGGAGCCAGAGAATTGCCAAACCTGGAAGTATTCTGGCGATTCTCGGAGCGAAGGTACCACTTCTGAAATTCGTTGATAGAATCAGCGGATTGAAAATCGATCTTTCTTTCGATAACGATAGTGGCATCACCGCCATTGAGACATTTCATCGGTGGAAGAATGCCTATCCAGCAATGCCTATCATTGTGTCTATTGTCAAACAATACTTAATGATGCGTGGTCTCAATGATGTATCCACTGGTGGACTGGGTGGTTTCTCCACCATTTGCCTGGTGACGAGTCTTCTTCAGCACTTGCCTGTCTTGACAGAACCGTTAAATCTCGGCGAGGTGCTGCTGGAGTTTTTCAACCTCTACGGGAATATTTTTGACAGACGTGACACTGCCATCCGAATGGAACCGCCTGCATATTTGGACAAGGTATTTGATCCCCATTTCTTTCGATTGTACTGACCTTGTCCGACAGAGCACCTACCTGCCTCAGCTGCTTAAAAAAGATAAGTCTGACTCCCGACTCACCATCATCGACCCCAACCGGCCAGATAACAACATTTCGGGCGGAACGAACCAGATTGCCGATATTACCAGATGTTTTTCATCAGCACATCAAGCGCTCCTAGGACGGCTCGACATGTACGACATGCAGTACCCGAAAAGCTCTCCTGTTAGCTTTCTGGAGTGTCTATTAGGAGGCAATTTTTCTTCGTATGAATCGCAGAGAAAGATACTCTACGACTTGAGTCTGAAGCTTCTTCCGCCACCGAGTTCGTTGACATCGTACTCGTCCAAAGCAGAAACTACCAAGTCAAACACATCTGCATCTCTACCGGCTCCGCCAAGTCATCCCCTGCCACAGAAGCCTCATTGGGAAACACAATCAGTACGCTAACAATCACCCTGATTTTTCACTAAATTAACGTCCTTTAGGCGGGGAACCTAGGATCCGGATCAGCTGCCCAGCAGAGTGCCTTGAACGGCAACAACGAAAATATGCCCAACGGAGAGGTGGAAAAAGATGAATCGAAACTGTCGAGTAGTGAGAAGCGAGCTTTACGGTTCAAGCGATTGCGTCCAGACTTGGCCTCCTCGGTTGGTCGCACTTTGGGGCCAGCGCAGGCTATGAGCCTCGGGGGTTATCTGTCCAAAGACGCCATGCATAAGGACCTCAACACTCGCGAACTTGCATTGAACAGTAAGAAGAAATGAATGGGGGACCTGGCATACACACCCTCTTCATCATTTACATACGTGTATGCTGCTTATGTCGAGATTATCAGCAGAGTGCAGACTTGTTCCGCTGAGAAGGCAATGCATGGCTATCAGGAGCGTGTTCACATCCTCATTGTCCACATGCTCCTTGAAGCAACCCTGCTCAATTCAAATCATATTGCCCCTAGTTCTGACCATCAACTCACATGTCCACAGCAACTACTGGAACAACTGACAACCTGAAATTACTGATTAGCTTAGGATGACAGTTATTTACAGGACAGAAAGCATTTGGACCAGTACTCAACACCAATTTTCAAGCGAATGAGACCTCAGTGAGCTCAACCCCGTTCTATCACCCAGCGAATTCATGGATGGTAACGTATCTACGATAGTAACCCCTTCGATCCTTGCGGTCACTCCCCATACTAAGTTCGTTCCGTTGGCCTTCCTGAATTACCTACGGCATACAGCATGCTTGCGCTCTTCGCATTAACCCAGGTTCTAGTTCTAGTCACTCTCAGAGATAAGACTCTTCTCACACTTGGCGGTGGTTGTGGCTACATCGGCTGCACCACTTCTGGTTCGGAAGTCCTTTTTCTCTGACCATTTTTCTCATTGCCTTGTTGCTTTATGCACCACTGCAGAGAGGAATTTGTGGGCTTACGGTTGTCGAGGAACACGCCAGCACATCTGGAGAAGGATTTCTCGTGCAGTTGCCTCGGACATGTTTGATGCCGCCCTCCAGAGAAGCTGAATTCTTTCGGGGTTAAGTATGAAGAAAAGCCTTCTTATAGAAAGGAGACTGTGTTTGGCAGTAAACACAACAATTGGGTTAGGAGATTCCAGTAGCACAGTATGTGTGATGCTGTTGTATGCCTGGGTAAAAGCGGCAAGATGGGGAAGATCACAGAGTGAACCACTAGTGAATTTAGCTGCGCCAGCCGCTTGAGCCAGTGAACTCCACATAACTTCTTAGAAAGTTGCTGAGAGTCTCCAACAACGGTCCTATCCCACAACCATCGCGACGTAGAAGTCTCATCCTGCGTTTCTCTGCTCCCTGGATATCTTTGTGAGGACCATGGTGTTGCGCCATGGCATCGCAAGGTCCGGGTCCAGACCCAAGCGAGCGCATATTCAGTGAGTTGCGGAGCAAGAACGATGAAGTAAAGAGCAAGGCAGCATCTGAGTTGCGTGACCTCGTCACATTGCTGTCGCGAGGTATGAATCCATCAGTGATCAAGTGGACATCAGGCTAATGTCGCGTTAGAATGGTCCCCAGAACGGTTCAGTGCTTTCTACGACAGGGTCACAAACAGACTCAGCAACCTCATTGTCCAAGCCCCGGATCCTAGCGACAAAGTTGGCGGTATTCTTGCCCTCGATCGGCTGATTGACTGCGAAGCGATCGATGCCGCGCAAAAGGCATCAAAATACTCAAACTATCTGCGGGCAGCTTTGAAGAGCAATGACTACACTGTCCTGGATGCCGCCAGCCGAGCCTTGGGCCACCTGGCTCGGCCAGGAGGGGCATATACTGCTGAGCTTGTGGAGGCTGAGATGACATCTGCTTTTGAATGGCTTCAGCCAGAGATCAAGCAAGAGAGTCGCAAGTTGGCTGCGGTCTTCCTGATCCGTGAAATGGCAAGCAACTCTCCGACGCTCGTCTACGGCTTCATACCTCAAATCTTTGAGTTGATCTGGAATGCCCTAAGAGATCCCAAAGACCTGATCCGAAGAACAGCGGCTCAATCCGTTAGTGCTTGCTTTGGGGTCATGGTAGCAAGAGATGCACAATTTCAGACACATTGGTTTGCTAAAATATATCAAAAGGCGCTGGAGGGCTTCCGACCAACGTCAACAGTTGACGAGACGCTTGGATCACTACTGATTCTGATGGAACTCTTGCAGCAGGGCAACATGTTTATGCACGACTTCTACCGGAATGCCTGTGAAATTGTGCTGAGACTCAAAGACCATCGGGATGCCAGAATCAGAACACAAGTGGTACAAATGATTCCTGTTCTTGCCGAATACGCCCCCCTCGATTTCATCAACAACTACTTGCACAAGTTCATGATTTACCTGCAAGCACAGCTCAAGCGCGAAAAAGAAAGAAACCAGGCCTTTATTGCTATAGGGCAGATAGCTAAGGCTGTCGGCAGTGCAATTGCACAATACCTTGATGGCATCATCCTATACATCCGGGAATCTTTGAGCGCGAAGACGAAGAATCGTGCGGCAGTGGACGAAGGCCCAATGTTCAACTGTATTAGCATGCTTGCTGGTGCGGTAGGCCAGACGCTTAGCAAGTACATGGAAGCACTCTTGGATCCAATCTTCGCATGCGGCCTGACAGAGCCCATGGAAAAAGCGCTGGAGGATATGGCACATAACATACCACCTATTCGAGCCACCATACAAGACAAGCTACTCGACCTGCTTAGTCTTATCTTGGTTCGATCTCCGTATCGACCTTTAGGCTGTCCCCCGAACACAGTACCGCCGCTCCCTTCTTTTGCCAAAGATTATGGAGGATTTCCTGCAGAGCTCAAGGACCATGAGATCACATTGGCTCTTGAAACACTCGGCAAGTTCGACTTCTCGGGTCATATTCTGAACGAGTTTGTGCGCGACGTAACCCTTCGTTACGCTACGAATGACAATCCAGACATTCGAAGAGCCGCGGCGTTGACGTGCTGCCAGCTGTTCATGCAAGACCCTATCCTACACCAGACCAGTAACAACGCGATTCAGGTGGTAGGTGAGGTCGTGGACAAGCTGTTGACTGTGGCTGTTGGCGATCCGGACCCCGAAATCAGAATGACAGTGCTTTGGGCGCTGGACAGAAAATTTGACAAGCATCTGGCGAGACCCGAAAACATCAGATGTCTTTTTCTCGCTGTTAACGACGAAGTCTTTGGTGTCCGTGAGGCTGCCATCGAGATCATTGGACGGCTGACTACGGTAAACCCTGCATATGTATTTCCACCTCTCCGAAAGTTACTGGTCAACCTACTCACTGGCCTTGGATATTCCAATACGGCAAAGCAAAAGGAAGAGAGCGCACGGTTAATCAGTCTGTTCGTTTCTAATGCGACTTCGTTGGTGAAGACATACGTGGAAGCGATGGTTTCCGCTCTTCTTCCCAAGGCCACTGATCCAAATCCAGGAGTTGCGTCGACTACCATCAAAGCACTTGGAGATTTGACATCAGTTGGCGGCGAAGAAATGACTCAGCATATCCCCGAGCTTATGCCTATCATCATTGATGCTTTACAAGATCTTGCTTCACACGAAAAGCGCGACGCAGCCATGAAGACTTTGAGCTCCCTTGCCGTCAATTCTCAATATGTGATTGACCCATATATTGAATATCCGGAGTTGCTGGGAATCCTGATCAACCTGATCAAGACTGAAGCTCATGGGGAGCTCAGAACGGATGCTATTAAATTAGTGGGGGTGCTTGGAGCTCTCGATCCCTACAAGTATCAACAACTCGCCGATTCCGTGACTCAAAAGCAAAGTCAAACCGAAGTACCTCCTGTCTCCGATGTTGCCCTGATAATGTCAGGACTGACGCCCTCGAATGAAGAATACTATCCAACGGTCGTCATCAATACTCTGATGCAGACAATCTTGGCAGATCATACCCTAGCTCAGTATCACAGCGCCGTTATTGATGCCATTGTGACCATCTTCAAGACGATCGGCATGAAGTGCGTGCCATTCTTGGGCCAGATTGTTCCCGGTTTTCTGGGTGTAATTCGAAGTTCGCATCCTACTCGTCTCGAATCATACTTCAATCAACTTGCTGTCCTGGTCAATATTGTTCGTCAGCATATCCGAGCATTCCTACCAGAGATCATCGCCGTCATCCGAGAGTATTGGAATGTGTCGAGGCAAGTGCAGTCTACAATTTTGTCATTAATTGAGGCCATCTCAAAGTCTCTTGAAGGCGAATTCAGAAGATATCTTGCTGGTCTATTACCCCTTATGCTTGCGGTTATTGAGAACGATACCGATCAGCGAAGAGAATCTTCTATGCGCATCCTCCATACTTTCCTGGTTTTTGGCTCCAGTGGGGAGGAATACATGCACATGATAATTCCAGCAGTTGTTGGCATCTTCGAAAATCCAGCAGCTCCCCCTAGTGCCAGACGGGCAGCCATTGATACGCTGGGAAAGCTATCCCGAACTGTCAATGTTACTGACTTCGCCTCACTCATGATTCATCCCCTTGCAAAGATCCTGTCTTCGCCAGAAAAGGCAGTCACAAACTCCGCTGAGCGTTCGCTGAAATCTGCAGCATTGGACTGTGTCTGTGCATTAATTTATCAGCTTGGCCAGGATTTCATTCACTATCTACCTTTGGTGGAGCGGGCCACGAAGACTGGGCAGATCAACTCAGAACGATTCCAAAAGCTGGTCGAGAATTTGAAGACTGGAAAACCACTACCAGTAGACTTCTATCCAGATGAGCAATACGGTCTACCAGCTGAAGACACAACCTATTCTAATATAACGTCTATGAGACTCCCAGTCAACCAGCAACACTTGAAGAGTGCTTGGGATACTTCTCAAAAGTCGACCAAGGAAGACTGGCAAGAATGGATGAGAAGATTCAGTGTCGAATTACTCAAGGAATCCCCGTCCCACGCCTTACGAGCTTGCGCGAGTTTGGCGACTGTCTTTCAACCCTTGGCTAAAGACTTGTTCAATTCGGCGTTTGTATCTTGCTGGACCGAACTGTATGATCAGTATCAGGAAGAGCTCATTCGTTCAATCGAAAAGGCGCTGACGTCCTCCAATATCCCTCCGGATATCCTGCAAACATTGCTCAATTTGGCTGAGTTTATGGAGCATGATGATAAGTCCTTGCCAATCGACATAAGAACGCTTGGACGATTTGCAGCAAAATGCCATGCCTTTGCGAAAGCGCTGCACTACAAAGAACTCGAGTTTGAACAGGATCAAAACAGCCAGAGTGTTGAGGCTCTGATCAGCATCAACAATCAACTGCAACAATCTGATGCTGCTATCGGCATCTTGCGCCGGGCGCAAGTATTTGGCGAAGTTGAGCTCAAAGAAGCATGGTTCGAGAAGCTTCAACGATGGGAAGAAGCATTGGCTGCTTATCAGAAGCGCGAAAAAATCGAGCCTGAAAACTTCGACATTGTTATGGGCAAGATGCGCTGCCTGCACGCTCTTGGTGAATGGAAGATGCTTTCAGAGATTGCCCAGGAACACTGGAACAACGCAAGCGTCGAAAATCGCAAGAGTATGTCGGCACTCGCTGCAGCTGCAGCTTGGGGTCGAGGCGAGTGGGATTCCATGGACAACTACATTAGTGTGATGAAAGAAAGTTCTCCCGATAGAGCCTTCTTCGGTGCGATTCTTGCAATCCAGCGCAACAACTTTCCTGAAGCTTATAACTTCATCGTGCGAGCCCGAGAAGGTGTCAACTCAGAAATCACTGCGACAATTGGGGAGTCATATAACCGTGCCTACAGTGTGGTTGTTCGGACGCAGATGCTTGCTGAGCTTGAAGAGATCATCGTCTACAAGCAGAGTGAAGGGCAGCCTGACAAACAGAATTCCCTCAAGTTGTTATGGAACAAGAGACTGCTGGGTTGCCAATCGAATGTGGAGGTCTGGCAGCGAATGCTGAAAGTCCGAGCTCTTGTTTTGACACCAACAGACAATCCAGAGATCTGGATCAAGTTCGCAAACCTTTGCCGCAAATCAGATCGCATTGGTCTGGCAGAAAGATCACTGGCTTCGCTGGGCGGTGTTAGTGACGCTGCCGCTGGCGCAGGCGCAGCACCGCCTCCCGTTGCGTACGCTCGGCTCAAGTTCAACTGGGCAACTGGCAATCAAAAGCAAGCACTCGCGTTCCTCCGTGAATTCACCATGAGACTTGCTGATGACTTCCAACAAGCCAACGCATCCCTTGCTAATGGCATGCATAACGAGAGGATGAATAATATGAACGGTACCGACGCGGCAGGACACGACGCGCTTACTCAACGAAGAAAGCACGAAGAGTTGGACCGGTGCGCGAAACTCTTGGCCAAGTGCTATCTACGGCAAGGAGAATGGCAGTCATACTTGCTCAGAGGTGACTGGACAAGTCCGAACACTCAAGAAGCTGTCCGAGACATCCTATCCTCGTACCACGCCGCGACACAGTACAACGAGTCCTGGTACAAAGCCTGGCATGCATATGCTCTGGCGAATTTCGAAGTTGTCACTTCTATGGCGTCTCATACAGACCAGGATAAAGTGCGCAATCTGCCCGAGCACGTCATTCAGAAGCATGTTGTCCCTGCAATTGGAGGCTTTTTCAGATCCATTGCACTCTCTAAGACAAGTAGTCTGCAAGATACCCTCCGCTTGTTAACATTGTGGTTCGCTCATGGCGGACACACCGAAGTCAACTCAGTCATCATTGAGGGCTTTGCATCTGTGAGCATTGATACCTGGCTCGAAGTTATCCCCCAATTGATTGCAAGAATCAACCAACCAAACGCGAGAGTTCGGGCCGCTGTTCATCGACTGTTGACAGAAGTTGGGAAGGCTCATCCACAAGCATTGGTGTATCCTTTGACGGTGGCAATGAAGTCCTTGGTTCAACGCCGAGCCAATTCAGCCATGCAGATCATGGACAACATGAGGGTGCATAGCCCAGTGCTTGTCGAGCAAGCTGACCTTGTAAGCCACGAGCTAATCCGTGTTGCTGTCTTATGGCACGAACTGTGGCACGAAGGCCTCGAAGAAGCTTCTCGCCTATATTTTGGTGATCATGATGTCGAAGGCATGCTAGCTACGCTTGCTCCACTACACGAATTACTTGATCGAGGCGCCGAGACTCTCAGAGAAGTATCGTTCGCACAAGCATTTGGGCACGATCTTGCTGAAGCTAGGGCTTTCTGCAATGCATTCCGCCGGTCCAAAGAAATAGGAGACCTTAACCAGGCCTGGGATTTGTACTATGCGGTTTTCAGGAAGATTGCCCGTCAATTGCCTCAGCTTATGAGCCTGGACCTGAAATATGTATCGCCGCGCCTTAAGGATGCCCACGACCTCGACCTTGCTGTTCCCGGCACTTACCGGTCAGGCAAGCCCATCATTAGGATCATCAGCTTTGATCATGTTTTGACAGTCATACCTTCAAAGCAGCGGCCTCGAAAAATGACTGTGAAGGGCTCCGACGGAGTCTCGTATGCTTTCCTTCTAAAGGGCCATGAAGACATTCGACAAGATGAAAGAGTGATGCAGCTGTTTGGACTGGTCAATACGCTGTTGACCAATGACACTGAAAGCTTCAAGCGTCATTTGAATATCCAGCGCTTCCCAGCAATTCCTCTATCACAGAATTCTGGCTTGCTTGGATGGGTTCCAAACTCAGACACGCTTCACAACCTGGTCAAGGAATATCGCGAATCGCGTCGCATTCTCCTCAATATCGAGCATAGAATTATGCTGCAGATGGCACCAGATTATGACAACCTCACTTTGATGCAGAAGGTCGAAGTGTTTGGGTACGCAATGGATAATACGACTGGCAAGGACTTGTACCGCGTGCTATGGCTTAAGTCTAAGAGCTCTGAAGCATGGCTCGATCGGCGTACTAACTATACCCGTTCGTTAGCTGTCATGTCCATGGTCGGCTACATTCTCGGATTGGGCGACCGACATCCATCCAACCTCATGCTCGATCGCATAACAGGCAAGATCGTTCATATTGACTTTGGTGATTGCTTCGAAGTAGCCATGCATCGCGAGAAATACCCGGAACGTGTTCCATTCCGCTTGACCAGAATGCTCACTTTTGCAATGGAGGTCAGCAATATTGAAGGGTCCTTCAGAATCACATGCGAGAACGTAATGCGTGTCATTCGCGAGAACAAAGAATCGCTCCTGGCTGTACTGGAAGCTTTCATTCACGATCCTCTTCTCAATTGGCGTCTTAACACTCGGGAGTCACCACCTCGGCCAAATTTCAGATCAGAACGACGACAAAGCATCATGGACGCTCCTGGTGCTCCAGGAGATTACGATCGAAGCCCAATGGAGACGGCGCATAATCCTGCCGCGGCAGCGATGAATGGTGCAGCCCATAGCCTCGTCGGTGCTCCCCCAGGCCGGCGACACAGACGCAGTAGCATTCTCGATCCTGCAATGGGCGGAGGAAGTATCGTCGATTCTTCCAAAGTTGGAGAGGGTAATGCGGCTGCACAGGAGGCCAAGGAGGTACAAAATGCAAGAGCATTGCAAGTACTGGCAAGAGTCAAAGAGAAGCTTACTGGTCGCGACTTCAAGCCCGCAAGCCCCGGCACAGCAGCAGCGCGGCTTGGTGATGCAAATGGCCTAGGGTTAGAGGCTCTTATGGATCTTAATGGCGGCACAATGAATCGTGCGGAAGGCATACTTCCAACGAGCGTGGGTGGAAACGGCAGCGCGAATGGCAGTGTCAACGGAAATGCAAGCGCGAGCGCAAAGCTGGGTCTCACGAGCGTCGCAGGCGCAACGCCCGAGACCACCATGGCTGGCATAGGAGGCCTCGGAGTTGCGGAACAAGTCGACCGACTGATCCTACAGGCGACAAACGTGGAGAATCTGTGCCAGCATTACATTGGATGGTGTTCGTTCTGGTAAAGTGGCCTCCAGGCTTGAAGGGCACTGGGTAGGCCATATCCAGCAAGAAGCAGGGGTTTGGGGGGTTTGATAGGTGCACGAAGATGGCTTCAGCTTGGTGGTGCTATTGCGATGTGCTTGGAAGGCAAGACGATAGGAGAGAGACAGGGGACGGGAACGAGAAGTGCTGCTTTGGACGAAGCAAACAATAACGACTTTGGGCTGGGAAATGGGCATGGAATGGCAGGGACTCGTGGCGATTGAACTGGGACAGCAGCATTATCTTATCAGGGAGCGAGCTGGCTTGATGGACCGAGCGAGTCACTAAAGTGTAGAATTATGGCATAGCACTGGTGCAGATATGGATGGACTGAACTGGCCATGAATTGTTAACAGTGTTAATAAGTTGCCTTTTCTGTCTGATCTTCGTCTCTTCATCTTTGCTGCTTTGATCCCCACGTGAAATCAAACTATGGAAATCCCCATGCATGTCCGCATTTGTAACATTCAACCATTTTAAGCGCCCCTTTTGTTGTTCCATGTCGAAGCAAGCCGGCCAGGCTAGGGAGTGAAGAAACGATTGGAGAGACTTTTTTTTCGCGAGTCCAAGTGATTTTCCACCTGCGCGTATGTACGCGGGAAGATTGAAATGCACCTCGTGGTGCCTCCCGAAAATTGGGACAAAGTGTGAGCAGGTGGCCGGTCGGTACCAGCATAGCAAAGAAACGTCGAAACACCTCGCATTATTATCTCGTTCGCTTGTGAATCTGAAGAGCAAAAAACCTGCCGTCGGTCGAATGAGGCCAATTATGTACATTGGTTTCCGTTTAGGCAGTCGTCCTAATGGTGGCCATTGACGCCGTTGGTGCCATTCTGCTGCTGCTTGGCTCTGACTTGCCGTCTCGTCCGAACGGCATCGGCGAGTTGCTCGAGAACCTCGACAGTCGTGTCCCAGTTGATGCAGGCGTCGGTGATGCTGATGCCCTTTTGCAGGCTGGCGAGGCCGCCCTCGGGGGGGACCTTTTGGTTGCCCTCGTTGATGTTGGACTCGATCATGACGGCGACGATGGCGTCCTCGCCCTGCCGGAGCTGGTCGCCGATGGCCTGGGCCACGACAGGCTGGTTCCTGTGGTCCTTTTTGGAGTTTCCGTGCGAGCAGTCGATCATCATGACTTGCGGGTGGCCCTTCTTCTTCAGCGCTTCTCTTGCGGCCTTGACGCTCTCGGCGTCGTAGTTTGTGCCCTTGGACCCGCCGCGGAGGATGACGAAGCCGTCCTCGTTGCCGCTCGTCCTGGTGATGGCCGCGAGACCCTGCTTGGTGACACCCATGAAGTGGTGGCTGGCCGCGGCGGCGCCGACGGCGTCGATGGCCACGCTGAGGGAGCCGTCTGTGCCGTTCTTGAAGCCGATGGGGAACGACAGACCAGAGGCCAGCTCGCGGTGCAGTTGCGATTCGGTGGTTCGGGCGCCAATGGCACCGAGGGAGATGAGGTCGGCGAGGAACTGGGGGGAGATGGTGTCGAGCATTTCACTGGCAATGGGGACGCCCATGGCCGTGAGGTCCGCGTAGAGTTGCCTAGACACCCGCAGGCCCTTGTTGATCTTGTAGGACTCGTCAATGTCCGGGTCGTTGATCAGCCCCTTCCAGCCGACCGTGGTCCGAGGCTTCTCGAGGTAAGCTCGCATGATTATGCACAGGTCTGGTGAGAGCTTCTCTGCAAGTTGTTTCAGCCGGCCTGCGTATTCGAGTGCTGTGGCGGGATCGTGGATCGAGCAAGGCCCGACCATGACCAGAAGTCGGTCATCGCGCTGGTGGATGATCTCTTTACATTCTTTTCGGCCCCGGGACACTGTCTCGATTGAGGCCTGGGTGGCAGGGACCTCGCTTTGGAGGAGGGCGGGAGGAATCAGAGGGTCATAGCCGAGGACTCGGACGTCTTCGTTGAGCTCAACGGGAGTGTCAATGGAAGGCATGGTGCCGGAGTGTGGGAGATGGACCTGGTCACTAGAGTTTGGCTACCGGGGAGATTTAAGGTGAGAGGGACCAGGAAAAGAAAGAAATGCAGCGGAGGATAGCGAGCTCTGTGAACGGGAGAGTAGTAAGGTAGTTTGATTGTATGTGTGTGGGAGAGGAAGAAGCAAGCAGCTCTGGACTCCTACGAGGGCATTATGATTCACGGGCTGCAAAAAAGTTCAGAACGTGGAGGGGCAGAATTCGGCGCGGCCCAAAGGCGGTGAAGAGGGTGTGGCATGAGAATTCAATCTTAGCGTCTTTGTACTGGTCCAGATCGCGCCTCAAAAGCTTAGGCCACGTGATCTCGGAGGAAATCCGGAATGGGTCAGCATTGTTCCCGCCGAACGGGGTGCGAAGGAATCCATGACGTCGCCAGTTGAGATCAAAGGGCCTAAAGCCTTTGTGGCCTAACAAGGCAGTGCAGCCTTAGGCGTTCAATATGGCCTAATAGGCCCCTCCAGTGCCCAAGTGCGGCCGGTGATCGAGGTTCTTTTAGGCGTCACACACTCCCCGGGATACCATTCATTGTAACCTACCTTGGCCAGGTAGTCATGACGTCTCGTACAGAGATTACACTGTAGGGTCATCATCTCCGCCTCATCGTTCCGCGTCTACTGCCAGCCTACATCCGCGCAGCACTCTTTCATTCCACGTCCACAACACTACCAACACGGCCTGCTCAGCCCTCTTGTCGACACTCTCATTTACCCGGAAGACTTATCATCCGGTTATCGCGCCATACGTTTTCGGTCGTTCGCCTGTTCCTCGCTTCCAAGTTCTTGCTCGCCCACGCGCCCTGGTTGGCCCTTGGTCGAGATTATCTGTGTTTCATCGGCCATTTCTGTCAACCCGCGACACCATCACTGTTTGATCGACTCCCTTTTCGAGAGGGGCTATGACACTTCCATCTGGAAACGGACATCTTATAATCTAGGGTGTCGTCGACCATTCGCCCACCAGTTCCTGCATTCCACCAGGCGACCGTTGAAAGCCTCAGCGCCGATCCAGCAATGATGGACGTTTCCCATGCCTTGCAATTCAATGCTGCTCTGCACAAGCGGAAACGGGGAACTGATGACACGAGCGATCAATCCTTGACGCGGAGCCCAAAAAGAAGGCCGACCAAGTGTCTGCCGATTCGTTTATCTCCTCCCACCAGATCCCAGCCACAGTCCCGGGCCTACTCAACCTTTACCTCCATCTACCAACAACCACCGACCCCGGTAGATACTTCGGAGGATGAAAGCCCTTCTGAGCCCAACGACGACAGTCATTGGCCCAGCCGGTCTCGCACAGCTCTTCGCGAGTCTCAAGGAAGTGATTCCAGCACGTCCTCGATGCAAGCACAGTATGGAGAATCCGATGCGATGGACATGGACGTGAACCCGCCCACTATCCGGAGGGCTCGTTCGAACGACATTATACCCCCGCCTCGTGACAGCAACTTCTTGAGCACCATGGACAGATTTGCCAGAGAAAGAGTGCCAACCCCGATCAGCAGCCATTTCGACAACCGAGTCGCGGACCTGCCCAGTGTCCCTCGACATCAGTTCCCGCCCTTGCGCACTAACCTCAGTCCGATGATCGAGCAAGACTCCTGGATCGGCAAAGATGGACTACCGAGCCCTGTAGAAGATCACGACCCAGACAGCATGATGGTTGATCAAAGCAATGGCGGAGTTGGCGGTGGAGAATCACCGACTGCTGCTGCGCGTTGGGAGGACAGCTTTGGCCTTCAATTTGATGGCGCCCCCAGTCCTGGGAAGGCAAGAAGCGCAAGACTGCACATGGGATTTCTCAGCGGCTGTGACAAGTGTATTCAGAAGGTACCCGGCCACTACAGCCACATCCTGTGGTCATGAATGGGCCATTTGTATGATGATAATGACAACAACGAAATGACGATGGCACGAAGGACATGAGTATGGCATGCATTGTTTATACAACCAACCACGAACAACAGTGGGGGGGAAACCACATTTAGAGCACTGGTTGATTTTCGCCGGGTTGATTTGCATTAGGAGGGGGCGAGCTCTCAATCCTTAAGGTTGCTATCGCACGAAAGGTAGACAGTGGGACATCCGATGCGCAGCGCTACTTGCATCATGACTACTCGAGCAGCTGTAGGCTTATTGACGACAATGACATTATGGACCATGGCATGAAGACCCCAAGCACTTTGTACATGTATATTCTCCGTGCCAACAGTCCGCCACAACGCATCTTGCTTTGCTTGATGAGACAGCCATGAACAAATTGCTGGAGGTGAAACGTATCGATTGGCATAACGCTATGCAGCCCTTTCCCCTTTCTGGCGTTTGTAAAAAGAAAATAATACAGGGAAAAAAAAGTTGGAAAGCTGACCGTCTGTCCACGCTCCCCCTGTGCCGGGGTATTGTAATATCACACTTTTTTTTTTCGTAGGCAAGCCAGCCCTAAGATTTACTCCCTCTCAGCCAGCTCAGCCACCCTTGACTCTGCGTCGAAGGGGACACCACGGCCCGTGAGACATTATCGGCAAGCTGGTCCAGAGGTCCTCCCACCGGGGCCGTCCGTGGGACGACCTCGTTCTCGCCAGGCCTTAGCTCATCCCCGGCCGCGGCCTTGACGTATTCCATCTTATCCAACGGCACAGGGCGGCCCTTGGCGTCGAGTCCGACGCCCTTGACGTTCGTCGACGTCACAGCGACAGGTCTGACCTCGCCCTCGACAAAGGTCTCGTCGGTCGCGGAGGGGGAACTGGACCTCTGCTGCCTCCTCGCCCGCCGGGCTTCACGCTCTTGCTTCTCCTCCTCGGTCTCGGTACCCATCTGGCCCGCGGCGGCGTTGGCGCTCATGATGCTCTTCAGCCTGCTCCAGTAGCTCTCGCTCTTCTTGCGCTCGACCTCGCGTTTCCGCGCCGCCTCCATCTCCTCGCCAGCCCGCTCCTGCTCGAGGAGGTGGAGCTGTTCGGCCGTGGCGTCGCCGCGGAGGAAGGCCTGTCGCGCGGCGTCGAGGCGGTCGAGTTCCCGTTCGATCCACGCCCGTTTCTGGCGGCGGTTGTGCGCGATGAGGCTCGTCGTTCCGTAGGCCGCGACCACGACCGTCACCCCGGCGAACAGGATGAGACCATAGGCCGTGAAGCGGTGGGCACGGTCGGCCCACACCCGTCCACCCTCGATCACCCGTTCTAGAGGCGACGACGACGCTTGGTCGCGGGCGAGCCGGGCGGCGGCGCGGAGACGCGCGACCTTTTCCTGGGGTGTTTCGTTGTGCGAGGGTGTGGAGCGTGGAGATTGTGCTGACGGTGATGATGATGATGGTGTCGAGGATGGCCGTGAGGCGGGCTGGTAAGTAAATGTGGTGGACGACGACGAGGGTCGCTGCATGGCGTGTGGAGTGGTCGAGGTGAAGCGGGTGAAGGTGTCGGATGCCGGTCGGGCCATCCTGGGTGCGAAGATTTTCATGGCGACGACGGGTCTGAACGGACGAGGGGGATTCAACCGGTGATGTTACAGGGACATGGGTTGAGAAGACGATGCGTCATATGGTGTACAGCAGTTGTAACGAGGGCGTTGGGCAGAAGAACGAGACCGACAGATGAAGATTAAAGGGCCAGCAAGTCGTGAAGAAATTCTGAAGCTGCAGCAAGCAAAGCATGACGGCTGCTCGAAAGCTTCGGGTGGAGCATGATTGGGCTTCGGTTACGGCGGGCGACAGGTGCATCGAGTTGCAGATCAAATCAGACCACTTTCTATCATACTCTGTATCAGACTTAAAATTCCTAGCTTGCCGACTGTCATCTGTATCGCATCTAACTAGTACTGACTTCCGGTTTCATCGCCCTCTATGGCCTGGTCAGAGATAGATAGCTGCATCCATGCTCGGAGGACTTTCCATGACAATACGTTGCTCTCCATAACCTGCGTGTCGGTCCCTAATTCTCGCCCATGTTACTTACCACCAGCAAGGAGACCCTTCTTCGACAAAACAGCCTTGATGGTCTCGTCTACATTTCCTTCGGGAAGACCCAACTTCTTGTTCCACAGAAGGCCTTTCTTGGAATATTCACAGAACCCTCCTTCGTTCAACATGATCAACACGATGCCCTCATATGACCCTCGTACCCAGACGTCGCCTTTGTCTGGGTCAGACTTTATCTTCTCTTGCGAAGATTTCCTGAAATCTTCCTTCTTCGCATATTGGACCTGGATTTTGTTCCCAGTGAGATCCTGTAAAGTCTTCAACATCTGGTTCTGTGTCAAGGTGAAGCTGTTGAGGTAGACGTATTGATTGGCAGTAGCGTCGAGATGCTCGGCGGACAAGACTGCAGCGACTGCTCGCCCGATTTGGTCCAGATTCGTCGCCTCGAATTCAACGTCACCGCCGTCGAAAATGGTCATGGTTTTCTCTGCCAGGTTCAGACCGAGCACACCAGGGACATCGAAGATGGCATCGAAGAATGCACCCACGATGATGGCGCTCCATGACATCCCAGTGTCTTGCTTTGACTTGAGGTAGGCGACAATCTCCGTCTTGGTGCCCGCGGGTGGAGCGATCTCGGCAACAGCAGGGTCTGAAGTGTCGACTCCGTACTCTGACGGGATGAAACGGCGGACCCCGGCTTCGATGGCAGCATCGATGATGGTGAGTTGCTGGCCCACGAATAATGTAGTGATTGCCGACACCACCGCGTCCTGTCCTCTGAAGGCTGCAACAAGCGAGTCGTGGGAGTAGTCGGTCTTGATGCCTCTTGCGCCATCGGGGACTTGGGCATTCGATGATGCACGGCTGAGGACGGATACTTCGAATCCAGAACGGAGCAAGGCCCGAGTGATCTCTCCGCCGGTCAGGCCAGAGCCTCCCACAACGACCACTTTCTTGATCGGTGTTGACATTGTGATGATAGCCCTGGTATGTGGATTGCAGAGAGCTCTGTCAGCAGAATGAAGAAGAATACTGTACTTGCTTTGGTCTTGAGAAGGGCCAGTCCTCGCATTTTATACCTGGCAGAGCCCAGGAGGCATTGCGGTTTAGTGATCATGTCCACATACATACCCGATTTCAAAGCACCGGCCTCTTGACTACCAATGGGTTCCTGCGCGTAAGCCGCACCGGCCAAAAGCCATCAGAACAGGCAGCCTCGCATTCTTCATGAGGAGCCAAGGTGTAGGACCTCTCGACAGACAGCCTGTAGATTGTGAGGACAACATATGACCATGAGTTTTGTTCATGCGTACTGCATAAGCCATAAGCCAACTGCCGGAGTGGAAACATAGCTCTTCCCTGTGACAAAGATGATTGGCCCATGCTCCCCAGTTCATCACAACTTCAGGGGCTCTGGGCCTAGTGGGCGCTGACCCACTTGCCTGGGGAAAACCTTTTTATCACTCCAGATCTGACCGATTGGCATCCTGCTTGTACGCGTGTTTCTCAACCCTTCAAAGCATCTTCAAAAACTCACCGCTGTTCGTGCGTAAGAGGATCGGAGATATGGCCCTGAGGAAGACCAGCCCGTAATTTCAACAGTAGCGTGAGAACTGGCCGATGATGGATCTCGGAAAATGTTCTGTTGTTCTCAACCTCGGGACGATCGTCCGGGAGAGTCCCTCTGTGGCATAGATGCGCTCTTGAATCTCTGGGAGCACGCGAAGGACACAAATCGGTCAACAGCACTGCTGCTACTCGCCATCCCAAGAAGCTCATATCAAAGCCAAAGCAATTCTGACATGATGCGAATGCATGGTGCCTTTTGTCGCTCAGCGCTCTTCTTCCCGAGATCTCTCACGGGCACCAATGTTACAACTCACTCCACGGGCTATCACCCTGTCCAACAGAACAAAGATCCACGATATGGCGGGATGATCAGCGTCTTCTCAGTGTCCAAGAGTTGAAATGAGCTTTCATATCCGAGTATGAGACGTCGGGGCTTGCATATTTCAAGTGGTCATCCTCTCCAGAGTCAGCCTTTCTTCCCGGTGGTCGAGATACAACTGGACATTTCTGGAACGCAGGCCAAGGCCCCTGTAGGTAAGAACAACGCGGTACTCGGACCGTGTCGTCGGTAAAGCCCACTGGTACCAACGCGTACCCCCCGGTTCGCGCTGAAGAGTGAATGGTTGGCCTCCCCACCCAGCACCAAGCGACCTATCAAAATAATTCAGGGCGAAATCAAAGGTTATCAATGACTTTTGCAGAATTTCCCTCAACATTCACACATCTCTCGGACCGCGGTGGCCCAAGTGGTAACACTTGAGGTTCAACACTGCGGAAAAAGAAACTGCGCCTGTGTGGTGTCAGTGGATTTTGAGTTCGGGCTCTGCGCCGTCTCAGGCTCCCGGGGGGGAGTACTCTGCCTTAATGGCCTCACACGGAGGTCTAGTGGGGTGATTCTCTGCCGAAACGTTCGAGAAAAAACCACCGGGTTTTCCCTCGGTCTGGGCGTCAGCTGCCCAGCGTGCAGCGTGGCCTCCAGACTAGAGTTTTTGCTTCATTGTGAAGAAGATGAGTTGGTATTCTTTTTTCTTTTTGTTGTAGAAGTACATGAGGATCGAGTGCTCTTTCCATCAGTACCCCGATCGTAAAGGGCCATGGTTCTTTTTTATTTTTGATTGTGGCGAGACTGTGATTCGAACGCGGCTCATATCGCTGATGGAAGACTAGGTACTGACTCAGACACTCTGCTACCAATGACCACAACGAGACCCGAACACATCCACTGTTACTGAGTGACGGGCAATGCTCCCCCAACATATCTTGCTCGCCGAGAGCGTAGGACATGTATAGTCCCTGACGAAATTCCTTGTGTGTGGTGGTGAGTGCTCTCAACGACATTCGAACACCTTGTGACTTTGGGGCCCGGAACTGTTACGCAGTTTTTGCCGGGGATCACAACGAGCTTTCGAACACTCCCAGCTACATTTATTGTTTGGAGAGTCGGCCGAAAAATTCATGTGCTGGAGCACATTGGTCCCTACAATGCACCACGCAAATATCCTGATGGTGAACGATCGCAGCGAGACTCGAACACTATCGGCAATGAGTGCGTACGGGCAGATAGTCAGCTTGGCTGTGCACCGGTATCTGCACAGCACGAAACCGTCTAGCTCTCAGCGATAGACAGGTAATTGTTCACGCATGGTGTCCTGATCAAACCATCACTCACACCCCAAGACAACAGAAGAGACTTCCTTCGATTGCAATGAGTTTAAATCCGACATTCGATCGTGGCCTGACAACCTGGGTTCGTTGTGTCATTACTTTCAATACTATGTGAATTCAGGTAATATATGTCCGGGGATCTAGGGTATATGATTCTCGACATGCTCTCCCCTTATCCCTCATTACGTCCTAGCCCCCGATCGAACTCGCTTTAGCCTCGTAAGCCTTGTGCTCCCTCTCAATTTCATACTTCACCCACACGAATGTCGTGATGGCCCACACGGCAATCCAGGCAAACAATACGCCTAGACTCAAACCAAATGCGATGTGGAAAGAGACGGACCAAACGATGGCCGACAGACATCCAACGTAAATGCAGATTCCCAACATCCACCACAAGGTCAATTGCACGAACAATCTGCGGAAGGCTTCGTTGGATTCATAACGGTCGTTGTATCGGACGCGGAACTCTCGATCCTGCAAGCCATCCACGGCGATGAAGTCTTCGGCGGCGTAATAGATAAACGGTCGCAACCTCGTCCCTCGGGGTTGTGAATTGATGCCGATGGGGATATTAAACGGATAGATGGTGGTGATCAACATGAGGCATCCGAGGAAGGTCATCAGGAATGCCGGCGAATAGAGATACAGCTTGGGGATCTCCAGACTGCTCGCCACGACGAAAGGGATGAGCGACGTGATCAGGGACACGGCGTAGACCCATGACGTTGCGTCAAGCTCCCAACGACTCCGGGATAGTAGAGGAGCACACTCCTCGCGGTGCATGAACAGCCGCCACGCACGAGCGAGCAGGATCCAGAGTTCGCCGACGCCGAACGAGGCGATGGCGCTCCCGAGAATGTCATGGTCGAACTCCTTCTCGGGGATCGGACATGGCTGTTGATCCGGGAACTGGTCTCGGCATTGTCGGTTCCTGTCGTGTCTGTGACTGTGGTACCAGGTGTAGTAGATGATGCACGGGACGACCAGGTCGAAAACGAGGATCATCGGGAGACCCAAGGTGATACCGAGGTGTTGCCATGGATGCGCCTTTTTTTGAGCCAGCTTTGTTTCTTTCTTCTTCAGCTTGGGAAGAGCGGCGTTTGTCTTTTCGGGATCGAGCGTCCTCATATTCGACAGACTGTTCGCGCTCGCCGCATAGCTGCCTCCGCATCGCGACGAGCTCAATCTAGGTGGTGGGGCGGGCCGATCTGCTACGACCTCGTCCAATTTCGATTGTACCTCTTCTGTGGCGCCATTGACTCCGTCTTCCGAAGCCGCGGTTGTGTCTCCTTGCAGCGTCTCTAGGCTCGAGGTGCTATTGACCGCTTGGTCTCGAGACTTGACTTGTTGGACTGCGTGGTCGGTGACTTCCACTCCATCTCGCGAGGCTGTTTCTGGCGGAGTCGATTGGCTCATGATGTTGATTGCCTTTGGACAACTTGGCTGGGTCTGGCAATGTCATGTACTGTATGGACGAGGGATGCAGTGGCACTTTCAGCTCCCCCGACGAACCTCGCATCCACCCCCCGGTGTCCCGTGATGGAGTCTCTATATACAGGTATGTGCTATTGAGAAATGCGTTGTCGAGTGAAAGGGCATCATATGGCTAGAAAGGAGAGAGAGCCAAGCGCACGCGTACGACAAAGAGAAGGCCGTGGGCAGGAAAGAGTGGCCATGTTAGAAGTAATGATTGCGCCCATTCTTCTTCAAGTACTCACTCTCCGTAGCAGTCTCTGCAGTGGTGACTCAGCAATATCAATGCCGTCGAGCCCGGACTTTCTCATCTCTCGTTGCTGAGAAAATTGATTTCCGCCTTCTATCCACTTCGGAGTATTTTGTGTTGTTGGTGACTAGAAAGGGAAACACTGACTAATGGAAGAGCACCAAGATCTCCCGGGCAGCTCCGGGTGGTTTTATGTGGGCTTTGTACTCTTGTAGGCGAGTGATTCAAGCCGGGGGCTGATCGTTGGACCCAGGGCATCCATTGAGCCCGAAGAGACAGGTGGAGAGGCCCCTATTCCGTAAGCCGCCTATAACTTTTTAAGGGGCCACCAGCTTGACGACCTTGCTCCGGGTGAGGCCACCAGGCTAATAGTTTAAAGGGTGCCAAACTCACCTAATCCCGAGTTTCCTCCCGTACATGGCCCGTGGACAAGTACAGAAGTCCGTACAAATTGCTCCATATCTTCATCACGCCTCGTGGACAGGCGTCCGGAAGTAATGTATGTACTGTACGTAGGTATCTGTTGCTGTGCGAGCTGGTAGGCTGAAGAAGAATAGACAGCGTGACACAGCATCTCTCATGGACGAATCGTTCTGCACTCACAAAACTCCTTTGATGCCGATGACCTGCGAAGAAACGTTTCTGATGCAGCACCTGAAACAGGGAGTAAGCAGGACGTGACGTTTTTGGGGAAAACCCGCACTCATTTGTATCGAAGGACCGAGCAGCTAGCCCTTGGAAGTCGGTGAAGCTTGGAACATGTTACATACACATCATGGGAACAGTCAATTTACCTGTTCTTACTCCAGACTCGCATGATCAATTATATGTAGTCACTCGTATCAGGACTTAATGCACGCCACAGGTGGTACATTTGAGTTGTCGTCGTCACTCTAGAGCAGAAACATTACTGTACATAGTCTGACCATTACAAAGTATCCATACGGAGCAGTCTTTGTGTTTTGCGAGAATGGTGAGACTTGTTCGACTCATGCATACAGTTACCTCAGGGTGTCTTCAACGGGTATCTCGTATTCGTATTCGTATTCGTATTCGTATTCGTACCTGTCACAGCTCCAGTTCTGCCCATTACTTACATAATCCGCCACGTTGTTCCTCGTCCATACAAGAAAAGCTTCCTCGCTCCCTGCTCGTATTTCATTCATGGATTGGGCCGTTTGTTGACTGGTCAGTGGAATTGACATTATACCATACGGAGTTCGAACTCCGCTACTCCATTTTGGAGTAAGTTGTTTCTCGCCTCGTACTCCGTAGACGACAACAGCCTCGTTCTGTCGACTTCCGCACCGACTCCGGAGTACTGTGGCTGCTTCCATTCTGCGTCCCGAACTCACCACCACATTCCACAAGGTACATTGGCACAACGCACCTCCGTCTTCCCTCCAGCCATGTCGTATTTTGTCAGCCCCGAATTCGCACGGGTGGTCGTGCTGGGCTCCATCACGAGTCTCCAGATGACATGGCGCCGCCTCGTCAACGAGCTCGTCCCGACACCCTATCTCGACGAGGTATTCCACATCCCCCAGGTCCAGGCATACTGGCAGGGGAAATGGTCGCAGTGGGATCCCAAAATCACCACGCCGCCGGGCCTCTACGTCTTCTCGTTCCTGGTCAACTCGACCCGGGACTTTTTCTACCACAACTTCGACCCGTCGATAAGCGAGTGGCGGGCCATCAATGTCTTTCTGCTGTACCTGTTGATCTTCGCCCTGTACATCCTGGCCGCCGTGGGGAGGAAGACGGTCAACCACCACAGCGTGCTCCAGCGCGAGTTCAGCATCATCGTGTTTCCTCTGTTATTCTTCTTTTCAGCCTTGTACTACACCGACTTGTTCAGCGTCTTCACCGTCGTCGTCGCGCACATATTCTGGTCCGCATCCACATCTGCCACCACAGGCCGACGGAAGGCGCTGTACCAATTCCTACATCTCGTCACGGGCCTCGTGTCGCTGTCGAGCAGACAGACCAACATCTTTTGGGTGGCGGTGTACCTCGGTGGTCTGCAGGTGGTGGAGAGTGTCAAGAGCAACATTGGAATCAGCAAGGTCCATGATCCTCCCATTTCTGAAGCATTTTTTGAAGGTATGCATATATACTACGCACTACTACGCACTACTACCTTTCCATTTCTCCCCCCTCTCCCTCCCTCTCTCTCTCTCCTCTCGTATGTACCATGGCATCGTTTTCGTTTGATTCATTTGGATATCTTCTAACAATACTCGTGTGTATGTGTCTTCGCAGACTTCCCAATCACAAGCATCTCGATAGCGCAATCCGCCATCACCATGATCCCCCACCTCCTTCTTGACCTGTGGCCGCACCTCGCTCTCCTCGCCAGCTTCGCGGGCTTTGTCGTCTGGAACGGCGGCGTCGTCCTTGGCGACAAGGACAACCACATCGCCACCGTCCACCTCCCGCAGATGCTGTACATCTGGCCGTTCATCGTCTTCTTCTCGTGGCCCGTCCTTCTTCCGCAACTGTGCCACCTGGCGGAATTCCGCCGCCCCCACCAGCTGCCCCGACTGAGCGTGGCGCTCGCCTTCGTCGCCTTCATGCTCGCCGTCGTCCACTTCAACACCATCGTCCACCCCTTCACCCTCGCCGACAACCGCCACTACACCTTCTACGTCTTCCGCATCCTCCTCCGACCCCGTCATTCGTGGATCAAATACGCCGTCGTGCCGATCTACCTGTTTTGTGCGTTCCTCGTGCTAGGCGCACTAGGCGGACCGACGTCGTCTTCGTCGTCCTCCTCATTGTCGTCGTCTTCGCCGGCGACACGCATCTTGTACACGCACCAAGACACAGTGTGCGTGAGCTTCACGCTCGTCTGGCTCCTCGCGACGTCCTTGTCGCTTGTGACCGCCCCGCTCGTCGAACCGAGATACTTCCTCATCCCGTGGCTGATGTGGAGACTAGCCGTGCCAGAGTACATGCCTAGTCCCAGTATCAGTAATAGTGGTCCCGACGACGACGCGTTGAATGTGAACGCGGCGCCGGAGCTGGCGCAGGATCAAGAGAAGGAGAAGAGGAAGAAGAAGGAGACCACCGAGACCGGCGCAATCGCCACGGCCAAAAAGCACGACGCCGTCTTGAGCACCGGTACTGCCGCTGCCGCTGCAGCTTCAACGCGCCACCCACAACCATCACTGTTTCAAAGACTGTTGAGAACGGCAGCCTCTTATTCCATCTGGTTGGAATTCCTCTGGTACATGCTGATCAATCTAGCCACGTGCTACACGTTTCTACACCGGGGGTTCGAGTGGCCGCAGGAGCCTGGAAATGTACAGAGATTCATGTGGTAGACCGATAGTAACGAGGTACTACCTGCCTCAGTATGTCACTCGTGTACAACTACCTACCCGTAAGCTAGTGAGTACTACTCCGGAGCAATAGCTACCCGTACAAACTGCTTCAAGGTACCTAGCTAGCTACTCTTGCATTGCCTAGTACATGGGTTACTAGTCAGGCACGGCCACTCACAAAATCTAGCTGTGTCCGGATACAGTGACGTGATATATGCAAAAATCTAGGTCGCCTCACCCTTAAGTACTCTTCCAAATACCTACTATTAGTGGGCAGTAGTAAACAAATGCGGTTGACACGCAGATCAGACACCACCACCACCACCTACACCTACACCTACGCTTCCCCTCCTCACCACGATCGCCGCCACCTCGTCATCAACAATGGGTCCCTGATACTCCTTGCGACCCCGGACATAGTACCAGATGATACTAAAAATGATAACCCCACTCGTCACCACCACCGAGTAGTTCATTGTCTGGTAATTCACCGGAGTCTCGGGGGGCCATACGCTCCAGAAGATCACGAAGATCATGTACACGCACGCGTATGCATTGTTGACGATACCGAGCCATCCAGGAAGGTGGAAAGGACCCCAGACCAACGGCGCTTCAGCCACGGAGACGACGCGGTGATGTTGGTTTGCTGCCGCCGCTTCCGCCGCCGGATGGTATGCAGATGAACCGGCGCCAGTATACGCTGTTGCCTCCGCTTTGATGTCATCATCTAAGTCGTCTCGGCCGGCCACGTTCTTGCTTGGGATGCCCGTGGAGATGCCGTCACGGTCGGGGGAGACGGGAGCTTTGGTGGCATTGTCATCGCTCATGTCGTCTGGGTCGACGGGAAAACCTGGAGTTTGTCGTTGGTGGGGTTGGACGCGGCCCTTGACACGGTTGTACAGTAGAAATGCAGCAGGGAGGAAGTAAGAGCTGTAGAAGCCGGTAATAGTGAGAGATATCACGTCGTTGAAGGCCGTGTAGGAGCCGATATAGATCAGGGTGAGAAGCGCCGCGATGCCAGTGACCACGAGCACAGCAACCGTCGGGATACGACGAGTCTTCGAAACGTAGCTGACGGCTGAGCTGAATGGCGTACCTTTATCACGGGCAAAGGACCATGTCATACGGCTGGCAGTCGTGATGATCCCGGTTGCACAGGCCCATGTCAGCGCAAGGACAATTGCGCCCATCACCGTAGCACCGGCGGTGTTGGTGACGCTGTCTGATCACTCTGTTAATACCAGAAACGAACAAACGACCAAGACAGGGGTAGGTTCACCTTTGAAGATCTGGATAAAGGGGTAGCCCGTTGCAGTCTCAAGCACCGAGTCCACGTCGCCCAGACAGAAGAGCAGGGTCAGCATCATGACGAAGCCTACGGCACCGTTGATGAGCATCGCGCCCACGATGGCCCGGGGAATGTTCCAGGGCGCATTGGCAACCTCCTCTGCCATGTGAACCGAGGCATCGGCCCCGACGAACGTAGCCACGTTGCCCAGAAAACCGACACAGTAAGACAGTCCTTGCGTTGGCCAACCGCCTTCGTTCAAAGCTGTGGTGAAGACAAAGTGCGCTGAGTTGTGGGGAGAGTATACCCACAGGATTGACACGATTGCAATGAAACCGGCAATGTGGAAGACGATGATGAAGATTTCGAATTTTGGTAGTGCTCCCGGAATGACGACGTTGATGAAGATGGCTACAACAATCACCAACCACGCAAGTAGTGTACCGTGCCAGCGCTTTGGGTCGTAATCATTTTCATGATCAAGAATTATGAGGCCTTGGAGCATGGTGCCGGCGAAGATGGTCTCGGTCGCGACGGTGGCGACCCAGGCCAGTGATGTGAGCCACCCAACTATGTAGCTGCAAAATACCTTGTACCGGTCGGGAGCCAGTATATACACCCAATAATACTGGCCGGCAGCGATGGGGGCCATGGATGCGAGTTCAGAAATCACCACATATACAGACAAGGTGGACGACCAAGCTATGATGAAGCCGTACACCAGTCCGGCTGGTCCGCCATTATCAAAACCCTGGCTAAATAAGGCGAGCACCGTCTCCCAAGTGATTAACTCGCACACGGCGAAACCAAATAGCGACCAGAATCCGAATCGGCGCTTTAGCACCTCTTTCTTGCCGAGAAGGGCTAATGTGTTGCTATCGGAATCACCTTTGGTGCGCGCCATTGCTGCGTTTGGGGCCGTGAGATGAGATGCTGCAATCAATTTCGTCGAGTGTCCGTAACCAAGAAGCTAGAAGGTAGAGCTCAAAAACAAAAAGACCGTCGCCGGCAAAAGCGTGGGGAGAATCTCGATCTTCTCGTGCCAGATATCTAGTTTCTAGATTTTTGGCGGCCGGCGCATCAGCGAAGAGAGGCAGAAGAGGCAGAATTTCCTCCGTTCAGAGTATGGGACTTCTGTTGAAGATCAGGAAGGAGTAAGATGGAGAAAAAACAGAAGAGAGGAAACAGCCAAAGAAGAAGAATTGAGCTGCAGATCTGTGGAGGTCACGAGCATCGTGGGTAAGCGGTGGCCATGGGATGGGACCTTTGGAGGAGGGTCTCGCACAACAATATTGTAGTCCAGCAATAGGCGCATTGCATCCAGAAATGCATCCAGCCGTGGGGACGGCGCAGAAAGCTTTTGCCCAGCCAGCCGCCGGAGCGCCTCCCGCGGTGCCAATCCAGGTGAGTGGCTGCATGATCAGCCGGGAGAAGCTTGCAGGAGCTTGTCCCGAACTACCGTATCGAGTTTCCCATGTCGTTTGATGCCGAAACCCCAATATCGACGTTGCGGAGTACCTCAAGGATCTGATACCTCTTCTGGGTTTAGATGGGCACGTAGGTAGTGTGTTGCGGTGTCCTGCTCGGCTTCTGCTGCGACGGTGACCGAGGCTGAATCCGAGCTCCAGGTCTGCATGTCGGTGGAGAAAGTCCTCTATGCGCAGCTTTCGAACTGCATGCTCGGACTCGAACAACCGCAGAATGTCGTCCAGCCCTCCGTACAAGTCCCTCGTACTCGTACCGCTGAAATGTTTACTGCCTGGCAGACTCGAGCCTCGTATCTCGTATTTGTGCTTGGCTGACGACGACGGCTGTGGCTGATGCATCGGTGTGGCTTGCCCAGGCCAAGTGGCGCAGGCACACCCGGCCAGCTCTTCCCCCTTGTTTGGCGGGGTCCGTCAAATGACGTATCGATGTCAGTCGATCGCAGGCGCAGTTCAAAACGCATCTCGCCTCCCCTGCGAGTTCCAAAAACAGTTCTATAAAACCCCTGCAGGCACAGCTTTTGCATTCGAAACTCCTTCTCGACTATTCACATCATCTCTGAAAAGCTTCTAGTAAACCACAATCACCACAATCCTCAAAATGTCGACCACCGTTCACGTCAAGGGCATCTCTCACGAAACAAGCGAGAAGGAGGTCAAAGACTTCTTCAGCTTCTGGTAAGCTTGACACGCAATTACAATTGTTGGAAAGGGAAACTGACCTTACCTGACAGCGGCAAAATCACCAATATCTCAGTCACACCCGAGTCAGAAGCTGCAGATGCACCAAAGTCGGCCACGGTGACCTTTGAGAAGGAAACGTAAGTCAAAAGAACTAAACCCGAATACATGTTCACCAGCTAATCTTCCAAAGTGCTGCAAAAACCGCTCTCCTGCTTGATAACACCCAGCTCGGAAAGTCTCAAGTTCATGTGTCTGCCGCGAGTACCCTCGATGATGTCGCCTCCAAGGCTGGCGCGGCCATTTCGTCCTCTGTACCAGACGATCATATCCCACAAGAAGACAAGCCTCGCACGAGAATCGTTGCCGAATACTTAGCTCATGGCTACGCCCTATCCGACAATGTGATCAATAAGGCAATTGCGGTGGATAAGGAGCATGGGTTCAGCTCTCGGTTCACTAGTGCCCTGTCCAACTTCGACCAGAAGTTCAAGGCAACAGACAAGGCCAAGTCTGTTGACACAAAGTACGGGGTCACTGATAAGGCTCTGAGTGCATGGGGAGGTCTCAATACCTATTTCGAAAAGGCCCTCAACACCCCTACTGGACAGAAAGTGCGATCATACTACGTGCAGGGCGACAAGCAAGTCAGAGATGTGCACAATGAAGCGAGACGACTGGCAGATCTCAAGGCAGGCAAAACCAATGAGCCCGAGGAAGTCCCGGGAACCGACAAGACCGTGTGCAAGTGTGGTGGTGCAGAAGGTGTCTGTGGTTGTGCTCCAGGACATTGCAATTGCGCCAATTGCGCTAAGAGTGGCCAAGGCGATAACCAGCCAGAACCAGTTCAAGGTACCGACAAAACTGTGTGCAAATGCGGAGGCGCTGAAGGAAGCTGCCCGTGCCCAGCTGGCCATTGTGCCTGCTCCAATTGCGCCAAGGGGAGCGAGTCCGCTACCACCGAGGCGAAGGAGGCTGCTCAAGCAAGCGGGCAAAAATTGCCGACAGGAAGCATTTGAGCTGATGGTTGATGAGAATCATACGAGTGCGCTCCCAGATTGGGACGATACGGTGGAGTGTCACTGCGGACGGTCTGGAACTTTGAGCGGTTGGACTTGTCTGTTTATGAGCGTGAAAAATTATCGGCACGGAGCGGAAGTTGATAAGATGCGCATTTTGTAGTTTTGTTAAGTGTACTAGTTACAAGTGGAATCGCTTCTGACCACCTTTCCAAGTCACAGTAGGCTAGACGAAATATACCGTAATTGCTTGCAGCCGAATCCAGAATGTGTGATTGTAGCAGCTCATAAATACCCATCGTTAGGTGTAGCATTGAGAAGTGGTGGCACGGGATGTTGCCACGGTTCTTCCTGACTGACAACGAAATTAATGCTCTGTACACAAACTTTCATCGTGTATTGAGTGTTTATAGTTCCCACTCGCGCTCCCAGCCGACCCGAAACTATCGATGGCTGTCGCAATGCTTTTTGGCTTTTTGGCTTTAGCTTCGGCTTTCGCTTTGGCTTTTGACGTAATACAACACATACTGCATTGAAGGAACCTAGCTAGAACTTATTTAGTACCTACAACCTACCTGCAGGAGTACGGCTTTTGGCCGAGGGAGGGGAGGGGGGGGAAAGGGGGTTAGCTTCTAACTGAAGTGTGCGAGGTACGGAGGAAAGGACCAGGTACTTTTACGTGGTGGCGAGTACTTGACCGACCGACCACCTGTCGACCGTGGTGAGTTCTACCAAACCAAAGGCTCGCCATGGCGACGACGAATGCAAGTCTCCAAGATCTCTATCGGGGTCTCGCCAATCTGGCCGGAAACCGACGGCCCCTCTGCTGTCAGGGCAGAAAATAGTCCCAGATTAGCGGTCAACCTCCAGCTGACGGGCCCATTTTTGACCCGGGAAAGTCGAACTATCGATCGACGGGAGGAACTCACTGACCAACGAGTGACTTACGAGCACGTAGTTGCACCGACTTCTGACTAGTTAGTAGAGGATGGTAAATAATAACTTGCAAGACCTTGCTGGCCGGATCCCCGTGAGACCCTGAGATTGGGCTCACGGACCGCCGCACCACGGACCACGGACCACGCGATCTCTGAAGTTTGGTACTAGCATCGCTTGCGTTTGCCTGAAATGCCTCTGTGCGAACTTGCGATGCTTTTTATTTACCTGGGAACAAGATTCCAATGGGCGAGCTAACGAACCACCTAGGCCATTGCGTCTCAACCATACCCAATACCGGTGGTTGCAGGATTGCTTGTGTGCGCCTGCTCAGTCCCTGAATGCCTACCCGGGTAAGGGTCCTCGAGGATCCGAGTCAGGTATTGGAATTGTGATGCCAGAAATTTGTGTGCCCACTGCATGTATGTGTGTCGACGGGATGTATATATATTTTTCTTGCTAAAACGTAAACTGCATCAGTCCCGGGTTAAGCGCCAGCGGCAAGAAGAAATGATTGGCGGTCAAGATGGCCAGGGGGAAGATGGCAGTGAAGGTGGTGATCCTCCAATCGTAGGGGACCAGGGCTCCCACGGGTCCGACGCCGGCCAGAACGATCATGGTCGTGGTGGAGGCGATGCAGAAGCAGAATGTGAACTTGAACTTTCTCAGAATGACGGGGACCTCGCGGAAGAACGAAGTGTGCTCGGCCTCCTTCGCCGTCGCGCCCCACGTCATGTCGACGCTGAACAGGTACGCCAAGATGGCCTGGGACACGTGCAAGCTGAGGCCGCCCAGGAAGACGGTCAGCAGGAGGAGGTTGGCAAAGTTCTCCGTCAGCGAGCCCAGAATGGACCGGTTCTCCGTCCGGTACCGCAGCACGGCCAGACTGACCGACCCCAGGGCCTGGAAGACGACGACGATGCCAAAGTAGATTTTGAAGCTGTCCACGTACGCCTGGTCGATATGTCCGTTCAGCCAGCCGATGAGAAAGTAGTTCATGATGGTGAGTGGCCACGCGGACGCGATCGCAAAATACGTGCCGATGTAACTCCCGATGGTGATTTTGCCCATCAGACTCATCGGACTCGTCATCCATCGCCGGAACATGGGCGTAAAGGGCCCGCGGACAAGCCAGTATCGAAACGGCTGAAATATAAGCTCGGCGCACCCGTAGGCGTACTTCTCCCACCGCGCCAGTTCGTCGTAGACGGTCAACGAGACGCCCTCTTTGAACCCGTCGCCGCAGTAGGTGCTGAAGCGCAGGATGTACCCTCGGGCCTGAAGACGGAGGGCCATGTCGAAGTCTTCCGACACGGTGTTTTCAGCCCAATATTTCTCGGTACCTGTGACAGCGTCAGAGTACTGGACGTCTTGAATCGCAGACCACCGGAGAATGGCATTGTGTCCCACAAAGGCTGGGACGTCGCCGTTGGCAACGGCGAATCGAATCGCAGTGTACACCAAGTTGGTGAAGAAGGTGACGGTGCGTTCAAAAAAACTGGTCGTGACATTCAGTACACCCGACGAAAACTGGATGATGGCGACTTCAGGCGACGATTCCATTTCGGAAACGGCGTCGAGGAGGCAATCCTTTGGAACGCGCGTGTCCGAGTCAATGAGCAGTATGTAATCGCCTATTCGTACGTCGCCGTTACCCCACGTCCGACCGTGGTCTTCTTTGATAACCTCGTCGAAACAACCCTGATAGAGCAGGTTTTCGTCTTCCTGAGTCCATATCGTCGTACGTGCGGTTTGGGCCATTTTATCTTCGACCCGGTTGCTTACGTCGAGACAGTAATTCATATTCGAAGCTTTCTTGAACTTGCCCGCGCGTACGTAGGCGTGGTCACCATTTTCGTCCCCGTTGGGCTGATGCTTAGGACGGGCAATCCAGCCAATGTTGTTATCTTCGTAGTACCTCAGTCTCTTAAGAGCATCGTCCTCAGGGATAAGTTGCATCCCATCGTCATTTATCAAAACGTTCGCGCTGCCCCCTTGGAGTTCGTACGTCGAGATGGCTTTGTGGATTGAGACCATAGTAGGATGGATGACGGCCTCGAGGCCCTCCTTATAGACCGGACATTGGATTGTAACATGAGGAAGATTTTTCCTCGTCAGACGAACCGGGGGTCTTGAGGAGTAAAACCTGGAGTTTGTAGCGAGCTGAGCAACGGGGCCAATCATCTGAGCAACACCGTTGATGAGTGCCATGAAGAAAAACCATCCCAGCCACGCTTCCAAGGGAGCAGCCAGCAGAAGCGCCAGTCTGACGTAGCTGTGGTCGATGGTGATTTCGATAGCAAGGATTCTCCATCCGATTGCCATACAAAATATCGTCAGAATTGCGACCAGCCCCACCAGCATCGACTGGTAGAGCATGATTTTTCTAGGTTTCTCCCATACCTCACCATGGAAGGCCTCAGAGTCTATAGTGTAGCCAGGCTCGAGCTCTTTTGGTTGCCTGTCAATCATGGATTTCTCATCCTCAAATTCGGCCTCATCCTCGCGGTCACCAGCAATATCTCCCGCGGTCCATAACAGGTTGACAATGTATTTCTGGATGTGCTCTGCTCTATCAAACAAGAGAGTAGGATCCTCGTCCCAGACCACCAGAAGTCCCTGGCCCCGGGCGAACGCTGCATAGTAGTGTCTTTTGCTGAAGGAGAGTTCGTTGATGCTGTCAATGATATGAAGACGTTGGCCGTTGGGAAAAGGTACATGTTGGTGTTTATACGAGCTGAGAAACGTCTGGATGACTGTAGTCCTGACTGTTATCGCAACCTATCATGCAGGTTAACATTATGATTTTGGGAAGACTGCCCGGTTACGTACTTTGATATTGAGCTTCGTGGCTTCGTCGTAGAATCCATTCACATGCTTGGCCAATTCTAATGGTCTGCAGATATAATCGTCTTTCCCTCTTCTCAAGATTACACCCTCGGTCGTGGTGCTTTCTGTTGCCCAACGCTTTTCAAGTTGTTGCTGTCGAAGGTACAGGAGCATCACCTCGAACTTGACATAGTTGGGAGGTAATTCGCCACCGCTGACTTTTGAGGATGTGATCGAAGTGGGTCGTGCTGCAGCATCAGGGATGACATCTGGTGCTACATCTTCATTTTCATCCCCATTGACATCCCGTTGGAGGATAGTATCTAATGCTGGCACACGAACGGGTGTTGAACGTTGTGGCCCAGGGTGCAGTGTGGGGGTCATTTTAGGAACAAACCAAGAAATATGCAAACAAGACGTGTGCTCGAGTAGAGACAACCAGGATGCTCGCTCTTTTTGAGAAGAAGTGCTTCCTCGAACCCCGGAACAGCATCAAAGCAGTAATAGCGATTACAAGCCCACATCGCCTCGGGTCCCTCACCGTCATACCTCCCTTGCCAATCGATCTCAACCCACGACCATGTTTGAGTTAGTCGACGCAAGCGCCAGACTTAGCAAGCCAGACTCTGAACCATTGGACTTTCCGCTTAAAGAGGCAGCCTCATGAGACTTTGAAACGCCACGTGGATCGTGAATTCTTCATCAAGTCGAGCATGGCTACTTGAAAGCTCGCAGAGGGTTGAGCCAGCCGAGGAGAGTGGGTCATAGTTGTGTGCTTTGGGCTGCTGGAGGTCCGAGTTGAGTTTGGAACGGCCGAAATGTCAAAATCCTACGCTAGGAACTCATCGTGAATCCTCGGGCGATCGGAGCTGAGACTTCCCGATGGCCTGGACTGTCGACGTGTATAGACGACCATACGGTCAAGAACCTTGCACGGACCTCAATCGTTTAGGCCAACGCTAGGTAAGATTGCTATCGAAAGTGTAAGCATGCAGTACAGCGGGAAAGGAATGGCACCATAAAGACAAGACGTGTTTCGCACCGGTCCAAAGTGCAGCAGATTACCTTTGTTGTGAGGAGGTTGACATCTAATCTGACTCCTCCCTCGGCCTTACCCAACATGCCGCCTTCAAGGGGTCGTAACAATGACTTTATTGCCGAGCAATTAGTTGTTGAAGAATCCGACGGGAACACTTCCCCTGGGGAACCAGCTCTTGCTCTACTCCAGCTGAGCAAGACATACTCTAGGACAATTCCGCCTCCAGCTAGCAACCGGAATGGCGCCCAGATAACAGAAACAGTATTGGAGGAATCCGAAAGTCCACCACAAGATGAAGTACTTCTTGACACAGAAGCGTCCCAGAAGACGGAGGCAATTGATCGCAAGACTACATTTCCACCTCTTACTCTTCGCAATACTGTCAATGTCGCCGAAGTTTTGTCGAGACCACATACCCGTAACTCTTCAGACTTGCGCTCGACGTCACCTGGAAGAACGCTACCTCCACGTCTGACCAAGACAGCAACTCGTAACCAGGCACGAGGAAAGAGTCTTCCTCCCAGTGAACGGAGTGAAAGTGGCGTCGACAGGAGTGACTCCTTTGGCTGGAAGGAAGGTCCTGCGGCGCCAGGATTAACAGGTACTCTCACCCCTGCGGGAAGTCGGAAGTCATCCACGAGGTCGGGAGTAGGAAAAGACACTAAGCACCATAGACCGAGAAGAGCCTCTGTCTGGGAAAGATCAAAATCCCTTGCAGAGAACTATTTCAGGCCAGACGGCGCCAGTGATAAGCCATACAAATATAGCCAGTTAAAGCCGCGGACAGAGTCGAACCCAAACAGTGTGAGCAACGCCACTGCGTCAAAAGTTGAATGCTTGCCACCTGATCTCAATCCGGCTTTCGGTCGCGGACGCGGACGAAGACGAAGCTCGGCGGGTGTCATTGGAGTTGATTCTGCAGCCTCCACCGGCATCATCACTGCGAGCAGGAGTGGCTCAGAGTCTGGGCCTCCAGGGAAAACATCTGTGCCTCGAGAGAAAACACCTAGAAACTCCATCAGCAAGCCCAGTCGGCGAGAGAAACGCCATTCCATCACCGAATATATCAAACCCATCATTCCATCTGACGGACGAGCTTCTCAATCTACTGGGTGGGCACCAAACAACTTGAACATCTCGAGGTCCACATCTGCATCTCACGTCAGTGACGAGGACCCCCTGTCATCACCACACTCACCCGTTGTAGGCAAAGTTCCGTGGAGGTACAATAGGTTATGGAGTGATGGTCCTAGAAGGATTGCTACTGAAAACCCACCGCATAGTCAACACAGTCGTCACCTGTCCGTGTCCGAGCATTCTCAGGACATACCTGGCAAACATCGTCCCTCGGTTGCAGTCTTCGAGAAGGCGGTTGCGAAGCCAGGAGTATACTTTCGCTCACGTCGCGTCAAGAACAATGAGATCGATCGGTCATGGCTGCGGGAAAAGAAGGATCCACGACAGAGATGGCTGAGCATTTTTCCACTGCTCGGAATTATTGTTGGGCTGATCATCGCTGGCGTATATATCTTTCTGGGCGTTCAAGGCGTCCCCAAGCACAAGTATTGCATGATATACCAAGACGACTTTTCTGCGGGAACGCTAGACACTGATATCTGGACAAAAGACGTCGAAGTCGGAGGATTCGGAAACGGTCAATTCGAGGAGACGACTGGAACAGACGAGAACGTCTTTGTGAAGGACGGCGTGCTCCATATTCAGCCCACCTTGCAGGATATTAATCTCCTTACTCACAACAGCGTCCTTAATCTCACTCGACTGGGTACGTGTACCTCAGATCTTTGGTCCAATTGTGTGGCTGTGACCAACACCACGAATGGGACGATCATCAATCCCGTGAAGTCTGGTCGTATCACCACTAAGAAAGGCGCCAATATCAAGTTCGGTCGTATAGAGGTGGTGGCTAAGATGCCACAGGGAGACTGGCTGTGGCCCGCAATTTGGATGTTGCCGACAGATTCAAAGTACGGCGTATGGCCTCAAAGCGGAGAGATCGATATTGCAGAATCTCGTGGTAACAACCACACATATTCCGAGGGTGGAAACAACATCATAGGCTCGACGCTTCACTGGGGTCCCAACGCAGCCAACGATGCGTGGTGGCGCACTTTTCGCAAACAACATGCAATGCACTCGACCTTTTCCGAGAACTATCACACATTCGGTCTGGAATGGAGTGAAAAGTACCTTTACACGTACCTCGATAGTCGCTTGTTGCAGGTCCTCTACAACCCATTCAAAACGCCGTTCTGGGAGAGGGGCGACTTTCCTCTCGCACTGCCCAACGGAACAGCAATTGTCGACCCTTGGTCCAACACGGGCGATAAAGCTACCCCATTTGACGAAGACTTTTTCCTGATACTCAACGTTGCTGTGGGCGGAACGAACGGATGGTTCAAGGATGGCGTTGATGGCAAGCCATGGGTAGACGCAAGCCCACTGGCCAAGACTGAATTCTGGGCCGCAAAGGATTCATGGTATCCGACATGGCAGAACGAGCACGGAAGTGCTCTACAGGTGAAGAGCGTAAAGATGTGGCAACAACAAGGCTATAACGGGTGCAATGAGCAAGCGAAAAGCATCAGATAGTCAGATAGTAAGTTAATACTGTCTCGCCAAGTGATTAGGCCGGTGACTCAGATTAGGTCAACAAGACTTGGAATGATGGCAGGGAGTGTGGCTTAGTTCAATGAGCCCAAGCGCAGTAAACACTGTTCAGTGGATTTGCTTGGCCTTAGCTCACTCTTAGGTAACTACAGGTAGTGAGCCCCTCCGGCCACGACACTCGGGCCACGACACCCTGCCCTCAGTCCCTAATTCTGTCACTAGTTGACGCCTACAGGGCCCAGACTCAGAGCCTGGCAGCCTGGGGAAGCTGGCCACGCGGCTGGAACCGGGCACTCGCTGGCGCTGAGACGCCGTGACCAAAACACCCGAGGATGAAAACTCTTACCTGCGCCCTCTTTTGCCCTGCCACAACCACTCCCTCTTGTCCTCATCGACAACCTTTTCAGCCATCAATAAAAGCCTGTCGCAGTCGTCCCGGACGATTGCTATTCCCATTTTCCCCTGATCTGAGCGAATTGGTCTTTTGCCAGAGTATGAACAAGCCCTCAACCATCCCGACAGACCGCTTCTGTGAGGCCTGCGACGAGCCAGGATAACTGGCCTGGTGGTAGGACACCAGGCGATGAGTGGATAGAGTCGCCATAGATCTGCAACAATCCTGGTTATTGGAAAAACATCTACTTTGTTCATATGTACGTTTCCACGTTCGGCGCATGAGTACGTCCATCCCTCTGGCTACCGAGTGCTCATGGTGAGACTTCAGAGCTCTTCCAACACGACGGTCATTTCAAAATGTGCTTCGAGCGGTTGATCAGCCTCAAATGTGGCCACTACGAGTCGTATCAATTGGACAAGCAAGGCTGCAAATATCAAGCTGGACGCCAGTGCTCCGACTATGTCCAGCTCAAGATCCGAGAAGACAAGAGCAGAAGCTGTCCCAGGTGCAAGGCTCGCGGCCTAGCCAAATTTGGGATTGCCAGTCCCAGCCTGAGAGGAAGACAGTAGGTTCACACGGTGGTGATGTGTGAGCGAGAAGAGCCGCGACGGGAATAGTGGTGACAACCGGGTGGATGGAGGAATAGAGGGCACGGAGGCTTTATGTGTAGACGTTGGCTCATAGAGATCATTTTGCGCACTCTGGGAGGCTTGTGAAAGCGTGATTTTGGTGATAGTAGATTTCAGAGAGACATCTATTCTGGTGGTTTAGGTACATTGCTTTGGTGGAGGAAGTACTCGTACAAGATTTCTGATTTGCTCTACCTACGGTACATGATGTTACTGGTACACAATGCAATATTTCTGTCCTGCAGCATCTACATCACCCTGCAGCTCCTCGTTGGATGGACCGTTCTTTGGCCGCAAAACAGCCCATTTGGGCTCTTACTTCAGCCAATTCTGATCATTACCAAGAATGGACTGCACCGACACTCAGATGGTTCGCTGGTGCTGCATATTGTGTGCGAGCATCCAAACGTCATAGCTGGCCAAAGGTGGGTTGTGTGGCGGGGGGATTGTGCTCTCACTACTCGTACTTGCAACTCTTATATCGCTCTTCTTGCATCATTTCCTGTCTCCTTCTCTTCTCTCTGCCATTGCGCTGATACAAAGACAATACTCTGCTTTGAACTTCATCGTCTCTACACCAAGCAACCCAGTGTAAGTTCTCGCGCTGCTTGGCCCAAGCTTCCGACGCTTTCACAAGTACCAGGGCATCTCGTCTGACCATTTCCGCAGTCTAACACCTCCCATTCACAATGTCTGCACCAAACGCTGGTCGTCAATCCCCAGACCCTGAGCGCCAGAGCGGTGCTCAGCAAGGAGATCACCCTTCCCAGCCCGGTAGTGGAAAGGTACGAGAATGTTCTTGCCTTCAATACGCGCCCGCATTGAGGATATCATGCATCCTTAAAGATCTCACAATTACAACGAATATCGGCTGACCTGATTCCTTAGATCGACGAGTCCAAAGCAAAGGATGAGGGAAAGGGACAGGATGACCAGACCTTTGGCCTAGCGGATAACCCGAAGCATATTCTCCAAGATCATTCTGAAGCAACAACTTCCAAGAAAGGGTAGCGGTTGAGTTGTTGAAATGGTTCACAAATCTTTTTGCGAGACAACGGAGGCCTCATCGATAGAGATGGCTTGAAGAGCATATAGAATACTCGAATAAAAGAACGGGGGTCCTGTACAGAGCAATACACGTGGCTGGTCCGTTGTATTTGTTGGGAACGTATTGCATTATCGGATGGATCTGATTCTCCTTTATCGTTACATGTCTCCCTTGAGGACCTCATTGCGCGGTTTACTGGGTTCGCCAGACCTCTTGTACCTCCTTGTCAGTGGAAGGTGACAATTAGTCCGTCCCTTGCATGTGCCACGGGCCTGTTGTGAACCAGTGGTAGGTTGTGATATCAACAACTGGATCTAACGGCCTCGCCTACAACGAATCCCCGAGTCAGATGGCTTCCACCCGACTCCCTCCACTCCCATCTGTGTGTCATTCAGCCTGTGCGTACGAACGCTACAATATCGTGGCAATGACGTATCATTCTGCATGCGGAGGCGGTTCGTCCCGCGATTTAGCGTCTTCCAAAATAAGGCCAAGTTGTCGCGACTCAGAGCGAAATCTACGAAATGGCATGTCAATCTTCAGGCGCAGGTGAGACAGTTTCATCATCCAGGGACAGCCATGCTGCGCTGTCTGCTATTACCATGGAACACATTATTGGTGTTCTACGCCGCTCTCTGTGCGTCCGTCAACGCCATAGACGAGAGGGTTCTTTCGACCGCTGCGACTCCTAAAAGGAGAGGCTACTCCAAGGGAGAGTCCATGCCTGTCAGCTGCTTGAACAGAACAATGTGAGTTGAGATACTTTGAAATAACGGTGCCATTTGGACTGACAAGGTAACAGTGATACTGGCGAACATGTATGTTACGCGTCTCCCAGCACGTTGCTCCAATATTTTCTCCAATGAAGACGCGACGGGTCTACAGTACCTTTCCAAGGGCAGGCTGACTGCTGACGCTTGTTCTCCAGATAACCGATAGCCATGGAAATTTACAATATATACCATTCCCGACCTGCAACGAGACGGGCCTACCGTTGTCCTTTCCTTACAACACCCCCCAGACTCAAACCTGTACCATCGAGTCCCTGCCCGACGAGCTCTACCACTTGATCGAGTTCTTTGTCCACAGCGACGTCCCTCTCACCTGCAGGGTCCCGTCGTACCCCTTATCGCAAGAAGAGTTGGCCATAACTTCATCATTGTCGGAGGCTGGAGGGGCGGGTGCAGAGAAAGACCTGTGGACGCCTTTCACCGTTGCCCTCCAGGGCGTTTTGCAGCTGTCCCATCTCCACCTGCACACGAATATAAACGTTCTTTTCCACATGTCTCAAGAGTCGGAGACGCCCAAAGACCCACGAGTACCCGAGTCACATCTGATAGCTTCAACCGCATATTCTGTACCCAATTTGTCCGTGTCGACACCTGCGGAGGGGTCCAAGATCGTTCGATATGAGCCCATGGTGCTTACCTTCAATGTTGGATGGATTGACGGCGCGGTGCTACCAGGAATGGCTGGACGACCGGTGCTGGGAGTCAAGGATCATCGCGTTGGGTTCTCTCTATTGACTTTCTTTGCTTTGGCTGCGAGTGCTGGTGTCGGCGCGATGGCAATGCTTGTCCACGAGAGACGAAAGAGTGGGAGAAGTGGTGTCTATGGAAATGGCATTCTTGGAGGGAACATTGGCAATGGCAATGGCGTGTCGAGAACTTCAGGGTATGGAGGATACGGAGGGTATACAAGCAGTTTTGGCAAACGAGACTAACGACGTTGGTATGGTGTACACGATTCAGATCTTACGGATGAAAACAATTGTGTTACACTATTTTTTTTTTTTCTCTGGCTTGCCTTGCCTAGCAGTGATAGAAGGGGTGGCCTTGATATTCCGGATCTGCTCAGTCGACTTTTCCTTCCAAAATCTCGCAGAAGTTGATGCATCATAAACACTACGTCTGCTGTCGCTCTCACGTTGTATTCAATAGTCGTCAAATCGCATGAGAAGTGCATCTAGTGTTTGCCAGAATGGTCGAAGGCTTGAACCACACCAGCTCAGGACTGGGGTATCGTTTGAAAAGCGTGATCGATGGTCGGGCAATCAGGCTGAGCAGCACTTGGACCCAACCCAACAGCCAGTGAGTACAGAAATAGCTATGGCGGGCGATTACCAGGCTGACCATGCAGGACGTACATGCTCCCGTACAATAGAGCCTAATCAGAGAGGGAGGGCTCCTTAGGCATGCTGTACCTGGTTGATAGGGCCCTCCCACTCGGACCTCCAAGCAATAATAAGCTGACCACTGCGGATATCACATCGCCTCTTCCTTTCAATCTTCCCGAATCCCTCGGCCCAAATCACCACCTCGCCTCTCTATCATGATACCTGTATTCTGTCTTAGGTGTGACGACTCTGCTCTATTCTTGAGCGCAGAGATTATTCGACGCCACAATGTCTAACCTCCAACCTCGACCTTCACGCTCACACTGTCCCCCGATCTAGGCACTCTCTATCTTACCTAACCAATAGCGATGGAAACTGTGTCTGACTTACCAAACAACCATTCAGGCCACCAGGGCTTTACTGGTGAGTATGGCTGTGTTCTACAATTCGTGCCCTATCTCTCCACCATGGCTCTGCCTCCAATTCTGTGCACATGGCGAGGTACTCAGCCTCGCTGAACAAACAGCATCTGATGGCTGCGACACCATAATCGCCATCTCGTACAGAAGATGGAAGGATATATAATACCCTCGAAATGCTTCATTGGAGACGGAAAGACAATTCACTACCACAAGTATCGGCTCAAATCGATCAACACACGCCGAATACCAAAAGCAACGGCTCCCATCACCACCACCAGCATTTCTTAAAACCAAAACTTCCCACGCTTCAAGCTTCAGTCAATCATCAACCATGTTCTCCCTCAAGTCCAGCTTCATCGCCCTGCTTCCTCTCCTGGGCAGTCTCTCCTCTCTCACATCGGCCAGTCCCATCGACGCCCGTCAGTCCTCCGGCGTATCGGTGACCTTCATCGGTGCCGCCGACGCCCAATACACCCTGGAGATCCCAGCCAACTCCGTCTTCACACCGACCAACAACGCTCTCTCCATCTCTCACATACAGACCTCGGCAGGCGGACCGTGTGCCTTTTTCGGCGTCGACGGCGCCGTCTTCGTCGCACCTCCGTCCGGCGGTTACGGCGACGTCGGTCCCCCACAGACCATTGCCGGTGGCATATGCGGTCCTTTTCCCGGTCATCAATACGGGATGTGGTAGACCTCGACCTTGGCTGAGCCGACCACCATGTCTGGTCACTATTCAAGACCCCACCTTTGATCCTCTCAGGTGTTTGTTTTTTCTTTTGCGTATGCATAGCGTCCGGCGGAGGTTCAATCAAAATTTCAGAACGTTTGGAGACACGGGCAATTACGCTGGGAGCGGTGAAATCTTTTTGATTTATGTCTTGCATAGCGATGGCGTTGTTCCTAATATGACCAAGTCACATAATGAGACCAGAGTATGACTATGGCTATGAGTATGGGTTGAAGACAAGTACCCAGGTAGACAGGCGTCAATGCAAACAAGAGGCGACAATGACAATAATAACTTTTAGCCGACACAAACACACTCCTCGGGTTCGTATTTTGGTCAGTTCTACATCTCGCACAATCTTAATTACTTCGTGTTTACGTTTCTTGTCAGTCCTACATCTCACAACACGCCACTCGGCATGACATCCACTTTCCCTTGTCTCGTCGTCTTCGGCCCCCTTCTGTCCCCTGCTGACCAAGGAAATGCCCGATACCAAGTGTCACGGTTGTTCTTTTGTTTTCCCTCCCTGTCGTCCTCTCTCTCTCTCTCTCTCTCTGTCTAGAAGAAGGAGCAACTCCTCCTCCTCCTCCTCCTCCTCCTCCTCCTCCTCCTCCTCCTCC